TGATGTGTTGTAGGAGAGAGTTCCAGAGAGTGTGGGCAGCTGTCACATCTCCGTGGAGCAGGTTGAAAACACCCCACTGTGCAAAATATTGAACAGTTCACCTTGGGCCACATTTTAAAATTTGGTGTTACAACTTTTGTTTCAGATGGAAGACCTTTGAATGTGCCAAAACAATGTTGAAAACCCAGTCGGAGCTCTCTCTCGCTGCCATCTTCAACACAGCATGTCTTTTCTCAATCTCCTCTGAAATAATAATTGGACCCAGGACTTTTACTCTAGTCCAAACTGTTGGTTCCCACACCAGGGCTTTGTCATCTACTCCATTTTTCAGATGCCATCATAAGTCGCAGCTGTATTTTTCTTCCGAACGCCATCCCCATCCATCCACCACCCCCTGCTTAATCTAATGCCCCACACTGAATCAGTCTCTGCTGCTCTTAATCATGTCTGTCTGCAAACTGTAAGAGGGAGAGGGGAGTCAGACGATGCTATCCTGTGGAGATGCTATGCTCTGCTCACATGTGGCAGATGCACAAACAGCCAGCACCATTTGCACTGTTGTTCCCAAGGTCTCTTCAAAGCGCCTTTGAAGACACTGATTACCGCCGCGACCAGCTTCACCACTCACAGAGAAATGACCACTGTCACCATGTATTCCACCCACTAGAAAGCACACAAAACTATCCTGGATCTTTTAGGTTTATACTAGTTTGATCTTCGCCTCACTTTTGAATACAGATTTATCCCACAAGTCTTTTAATGTAGTTATTTATAAAAGTGGAAACTGTAGCAATGTTAGATTCATGTTACAAGTATTTCAATGCAAGGCAAGTTTATTGGTATAGCACAGTTCATACACAAGGCAACTCATAGTGCTTAACAAAACAAGATAGAAACAGTCACACCAGGCAGTAAAATCATAAATAATCGCAGTACATTACAAGAATGCAGATACAATACTTCAGTTGTATGCTCAGCTTAACAGAACTGTTTTGAACCACATTTTCAGGAAGACTGTTCCAGATTTTAGCTGCATATGTTTGAATTACTGCTCCCCCAAGTTTAGTTCTGACTCTGAGTTGGTTTGTATTGCATTAACACGAGGCAGTGCAGGGCCATTCTTATAAACTACTGTATACACTGCAGTATACAGGCTGCAGCGATTAGAATGGGAAATGTTGTCAATTATCAAATGTTAAGGCTTTAGTTAAAGGGTAAAAACATAATTTCTCCCAAAAGAAAACACATTTCTTTTCAATTTGTGCAATTCTCAGCAGATTATATGTCATTATTTCATGAATGAACGCTCCTTTTCCTTCTAAACAACAAATAGTTGAATAATGTCTATAATTTTTGCCAATCTCTGTTAGAGGATAACCCAACAGTGAAGCATTCAATATTTAATGCTTTTGACTTTTTGACTGCAACATGGTTCATTCAAGATTGTTTTGAATGTTGTCCATGTATTCCTTTTATTTCTTTTAAAACTTTAAGAATACATTTTTGCTCTAAACTGGAATAATTTTTTTTTTACATGGTTATTGAAAAATGGTTTTACTAGGACAAAACAGCTATGCTTTTAGGAAGGGGAATGTGCTGTAGGAAAAATCAGGTGTACTTTGTGTGTTGCCTGGAGTGTAGAGACGGTCGGCTTAGAGACAAGGGCTACTTTTCTACATATTTATTTTCTTATGAACTTTTCTCAAAACAAAGCTCGTAAGTGCCTTGAGTATATATCTCTGAAAGGACTTGCTTTGAAACATGTGTTGTAAAACTGAGGAAATTATACATGAAGCAGTGTCTAAATTGTGGCTGCATTTTATAGGGTTTTTTTGTCAAGCAATTTATCAGTTTCCAAGAAATGGTATCACAGGGTTAAGTGGAGAATAGCTTGGATTATTTAGTGGTATTTTGTTTCATGTGTTCATTCATTCATTTTCATCCCCTTTATTATTCCATTTCTGGGTGTTTCACATGCACCTTTGCAGTCAGTCTCTTGTTTACTATCACACTGATATAGTTTACAAAGAGGTACAGAGGTAGCAAGTAACTAGTATTGTACTTAAGTAAGTAAGTAAATTGTAAATAATCTTTTTTTCTGTTGCGCCTTTCACAGAGTCACAATGCGCTTTACACTAGTGGGCATTTTTCCATCACTCCACACTGACCTTCAGGTTATTACTTCAAAGACCTTTGAAAACGATACATTGCATCCCAGCAGAAGACATGATTTATCATTGTTACTCAGCAGAAGAGAGACGACCAGCATGTTCACAGTGTTCACATGTTTAAACCACGGCGAAATACAGCAGTTGCCACATCGGCAATAGACGATTTTGCTTTGACCTTCAAATAAACGAAACATGAAGTGGAAAATAACTGTTGTAATGATAGCTCATTTTTGAAACAATTCAACCTAAAAGCAACAGTTTTAACCACAGCACTAACTAAGACAAACCTCAGACCTGCAGGAGAACGTTTGTCCAAGCACATAAGTTCAATTATAAGAATTTTAATTATTCTTTGTGGTTAGCACTGCTTCTATGTTCAGTCGGACATCAGCTACAGTCTGCATGTGTTTTGTTTATTGGCATACGCTGTGCAATTATAGTACTAATCTACAATGGGATAACAACTGTACAATTGTTCATATGAAGCTTGTACTTCTTTACTTTCAGTTAGTAATGGAATAATTTTTCTTAAGCACTTTAGCCTTTGCCTTCAATTTAATTTACAGCGCTCATATTTTTCTTTTTTACCACTTCACCCATGCACACTTTGAAAATGGGACCTGGGAATAGAGCTAATAAAAACCCCAATAAGAGACAGTGACAAAACCTCTCTCTCATCAAAGAGAAAAGCCTTTTGGCTTTTTAAATTAGACACATTTAGCCCCACGAACACAATCCAAGACCCTTTTTGTCACTGCTTCATTTCAGTGGATGTTATGAGGGAATTATGTACAACTGCAATAGGGTTTTGATGTCAGTGTTTTGCTCTTTACCACTATACATGTGACATGTACATACTCCGTATGTGATCTAAAGCTTAGCGTACATCGGACTGGCAACTGATTATATCCGTCTCATATGAGTTGCTGCCCCGCACACATCGACAATCTGACGAAAACGGGCAACTCCCAGTAGCAGACCAGTCTCGGGAATAACAGCGCGTACATCGACAGCAACTGTCCGTCACCTACAGTGTGTTTTCTGACATAAACTGTTGCGGGCTCGCAATACACGCAATACACACACGTTGTCGGAGCGGCGCATGGAGCGCGCACATCGGGTCATATCTCCGAAACTGAGGACAACTAGTTGCCGAACAGTAGAACACGGGCAACTGACTGAAACTGGAGACCGACTGATCATCTCCAGTTGTAAGAGCGCGCACATCGACCGATTTCGGCAACTGATCATCTCCCACCATCTCCTCTCAGTTGCCAAAAGCCGCCTTGCAACTAGTTGTCCCCAGTTTCTCTGTCGATGTACGCTAGGCTTAATACATATCCACGCAAGGTTTAGGACAGACTTACTGTATCTATCTTCTTGTGGATTTTGACTGGGATACTTCACACCCTTTAGACCCCTTCCATGAAGTTTAAGCTGGACCCCACGTGCTAGTTCGCTAATATTAATAATAAACCATATTAGCGATATTGTAATACTGCAGTAGTAGTGTCTCGATTGTAAACGACTTTGGAGATAAATTATTTGTGCAGCTGTTGTGCCACTTTGTTTTGCAGCTTATGTTTTAAGACAGACAGCTCCTCCAATTATTCACTGTGCAGTTCAAATCTAGTTTAGTTTGAATAAAACATGACGTTATTTGACACAAGCAAAAGGCTTCCTGTCCTATCAGGCAGCCACCTACAGTATATTAAAATAACCTTAAATTCCAGATGTTAATTCGTTGGTATCTCTTCCCTAACTGGTTGCAGACAGTGAGTGCTTCTTCTTCACCCTGGGGGAGTAGTGATTGTTCCCCTGTACGAAGTCTTGTTGTTTTTTAATCTGCTTTATTATGGCACTGTTGGGACACAAAGCCCGGGGTGATCAGGTTTGGACAGAAAAAAAATAGTGTGTGTGTGTGCGTGTGTGTGTGCATGTGTGTGTGCGTTTGTAGCTTGTGGGTGGGAGAACGGAAAATCCATTTGGTGAGGTTGTTGGACAAATTGGCCATGTGGCTGAACCAGAAAGGGCAATCAAATGTTATCATTTTGAAGATGTATAGATCAAAAGTTACATGAGATGCTTTGCAACCATTTGAATGGAGAAATCCAAGGCTTAACAAAACGATATGTATAACAATAAAACAGAATTTATTTCAAATAGCAATTTGCTTAAGAACACCGCGATAGCAAATAATGTTGTTTCCCTTGGGAACAGGTCTGACTGACTGCCGGCAATGCAAACACAGCTCTGACTCTGGTTATACAGGGACCACGTACTCCCAGAGTTCCCTCCGAAAGACACTCAGGGAACACAATCAAAACCTTCTAAACATGCTCAGGACACATGTGGACAGATACAACTATTGGTCTCCTCTTCAGTACCCTGGAGGAATCCTTACCAGCGAGGCAGAGGAGCGTCATCCCACCATGATTGGAACTGTTTCCCTTATTCTAAACACGAACCACCACCACATTTTGCCAGTTCAAAGTATATATATAAAAAGTGTCAACCAAGACAGCCTATTAACATTTATCATCAGACTTAAGATGGTCAGTGCAGATCTCATCCACCCCAGAGCCATGGTTGAGGAGGTTCCCAACTCCCTCAATTACCTCCATTAAATGATTAACTTATTGCAGTCGTTTTGGATTGATTAAACGGTTTTACAAAGTGCTAGGTAGTAACTTTTGTTATAGTTGTGTTGTGCCAATGGCTTGACAAGTCTTCGGTCTCAGTCCTAGCAGCATATCCAAGCACAACGGACACAATGACAGCACTGCAGACCCATGGGACAAATGGAGAAAAGCAAAAGGTTTCCTGCTGATGAGGGGTGGTCAGGTTACTCTGAACCCGGATGTTTTCCCCTGTCCCCGAAGGCCACACAGTGAGAAGTGGAAGGGGAGAGGTGTGAGTTTGTTCAGACGGGAGTAATTAGCTGCAAAATAGATGCTTCTTTGTTATGACTGATTGAGACTATATTATGGAACTTTCCATCTCTCTGAGGAATAACTTAACAAAATCTCAGGAGACATCGGCAACTAGTATTAGTATTTTTTTTTTTTTTTGCTCAAGTTTGATTTCTACAAACAATTATATATGGTTTTCTATATGGATTTTATTTCATCTATATGAATGAACATGTGACTGGGTGGTTAGAAAAACTTTCTTTCATCATCATAAATAAAAATAAGTAAAAACTGCATGCATATCTGAGACAGGAAAATACTACCTTATAACATCCAATAATATGCATTACTGTAAAACCGAATACATCCCACCTCCTCCCTTACATATTTCTCTCTCTCTTCTGTTTTGGCTGTTAGCTCAAAGCCAAACATTAAATATTTAGCATGGAGGTCTGGAGGGCCTTCAGAATTTATGGATCAATGAGAAGGCCTTGGCATACTGCGATAAATTCTTTATTCCAGTTGTTCACACGTTTATTTGCCTGGGACCATTAGCTTAGTAATGCACTGGAGAAATGTTCCACTTACTTTTATGCGCACATGCACGCCCAAGCGCGCACACACACACACACTTACACACACACACAGTGTTGTTAATCATCCATCAGTGGTCTGAGGAGTGTGTGGGGTGACTGAACTGCCTACAGCCTTCTCATGGTGCCATTCAAAGTTCTGTTTTATCACAATGTGGGTTTCCTTATATTTTTGGACTTTTATTGTATTTTTTTGCTATTTTGATGTAAATTTAGCAAACTGTAATCACTCACAACTGGAGGCGTTTTTTTTTTTTTGACACAATCTGCACTTAATCTATTCTTATTTTTCTTATTCTTATTAAATATTTTTACATTCATTTCAGATGTTTTTTAGCCGATACTAAGGTATAAACATGTGGGTTTTCCCAGAGAGACAACGACACATGTCCACCTCCACAAACCTGACTTGTACATATACAGAAGGGTGGATTTTTTATGCTTGTTTTTTTTTTATCATTATTATAGAATTTTACAAAGGCTGGCATAAAGCATGTCTAATTCCATAAGAAATGTTACATATATTGGTTTATATTTTTATTTTATTGAATCATGCAGGTGTTATTCTACCTTCCTTAAGCTGCTTTAGGTTAGGGTTAGTGGACAGGTACAGCGTAATGTGTTTTTCTAAGACATGTAAAATGTTCCACTGAAATAGTGCATGAATATGATTTGATTGGTTTTCATTTACATAATCAGCTCAAGGTGCATTGTCCACTTTTTACATTAAAGTCAAGGCACCTGTGAATATTCAATGAGGAGAATGGCTTTTCTTTATGCAAATCAACATAAAAGAACCACTTGACATTAAAACGACTATTGCAAAAATAACCATTACTGCAATTGTCTTCGTCTGACTGCTAACTCCTTTTCTTTTGATGGTTTTTGGTGAATATACAGTGCCTTTCGAAAGTATCAATATTAACCATAAACATAAAGACTTTTTTTAATAGTTTTTTCTACTGAAAGTTCACACACGAGTAACAGACAATTGTGAAGTGAAAGCAAAATGATGCATGATTCTGTTTCAAAAATTTAAAAACCAAAATGCTGGGCCTGCACAAGTGTTCAAACAGTTTATACTCTGTGGAACCCTCTTGTACATCTATTCTAGAGACAGAAAGTTTAGCCCATTCATCTTTACAAAACAACTCATGCTCCGTCACATTAGATGGAGAGTTTTTGAGAGCATTTGTGAACAGCAGTTTAAGGTGTTGTTTTAAACCATTCTCCTGTAGTTTAGCTTTGAGTTTAGGGTCATTGTTCTGCTGGAAGGCGAATTTTCTATACAATAATTGTGGGAGTTTCTAGCAAACAATATAAAACAGAACGCGTGTTGACTCAATGCTCTTCTTCTCTTTACAGACAGTAACTTTGTCCTGGGGAACGCGCAGGTGCAGTCGCTTTACCCCATCGTCTACTGCTCGGACGGGTTCTGTGAGCTGACGGGATTCGCTCGCGCCGAGCTCATGCAGAAAAGCAGCGCGTGCCACTTCCTGTACGGCCCCGAGACCAGCGACCGCAACACTGCTCAGATCCAGGGGGCGCTAGACGAGAGACGAGAGTTCAAGACTGAGCTGGTGTTCTACAAAAAGGAAGGTAAAGTAACACACACTTTAGTTTGTTTTACCAATACAAAGTTTTCAAAGAAATAAACACTGGAGCAGGAGACAAGCACAGAACTGTGGTTGTTTAGAATGCAGCCAGAGTCCATCCAATCAGAAGCAGCTTTTGTGAGCAGCCAGGTGTGAATCTGACACATTAGCAGCGTGGGAAGAACATAGTGTCCCTCAACAGCCCTAGAAAACCTCTGCTTAAATGACATAACACACCGAACGACCATTGATCAAGTAAATTAAATGTCAGCCTTTGTGGTTGAGTCCTTCTATTGCAAAAAGTGCTTTACTGTGCTGTTTTCTTTTTCTTTAAGTTAAAGCTGGAGTAAAAAATTAACCATGTAAAATCCATGTAACCCGTTCCTTGCTCTCAAACGGTTTGGTTCTTTCACTAGTTTCCACATGCACGTGTGCTGCTCTGTTGGTGACGACACAGCCTTTATCTTTCAGCAGGGGCTTCAGGAAAATTGGGGTTAAGTATTGGGTACTTTCCCAAGTACCCAACGACAGCAGACATCAGTGGGAGTGGGTGGAGAAGGTCTCGTGATGGACTCAAACCCACAACCCTTCGGCTCAGATGCCAATGCTCTACCAAATGAGCCAGGAATAAAAAGAAACAAACCTGTTTAAAACATTATCTCAAGAATACTATATTTTTCACATACAATTATATTTGTAGATCTACTTTGATGAAGTGTGCTATAATATGGTCTCGGTTTTAGAAACCATTCAGTCCTGCCTATGTCAACTTGAGAGCGCAAAACCCCAAATATGTACTTTTGTTCGGGATCATTGAGTTTCTGATGAAAAAATGATGTAAAAAGAGTAACCACAGTTTTTCAAACAGTTTCATCCAACTGCCACCCCAAAGTTTACTAATAGTATCTGAAACATTTCCTTGAATGGCTAAATGATGTCAGGGTATGTAAACTGTGCTTATTGCTTGCCGTATAAATGCAAAGATTATTCCACATTTTATTTTATTGCCAGCATGTACATGTTTGAACACATCCAGATTATAAAAAGGCTTTTGACCATTGTCTCAGTACAAACATAGTCTGTAATGAAATAAAGATAAGCAGTGCAGGTGTAGATTGATAGTCTTTTAGCCGACACGAGCTCCTTATGGACTGAACAACAGACATGCAGTTCATGCTGTTGTTTACCATCTTGATCCTCTATAACACAGAGAGAAAGACCCTGCAGCTTATGTACGCCTACTGTTAGTGCAGGAAAGTACTGCCATAAATGCCTTGTTTACATTTAGAACTGTGATAAAGGAAAGTCTCTGCTTTGGGAAGATTCAATTGTAAAAACCATTAACTCTTTCCCAAAAGTGATGGCCTATTGTAATCTCCCAAATATACAGTAGACATTTTTTTGAATGTATAGACTTATTTAAAACTCATGTGATTAAATATTTATTAATATTCGCCATTCAAAATAGACACACGCGTATCTGCACAGCTCCTATAAATTATTTAATTTTTTTACTAACTAATCTGTTTATTAAGAACTTAACAGAAAAATCATAAAGTCTACCACAACCGGTGCTATCTTACCAATGTCTCCAGATTCTTCTTTGAGTGAGTTTTACTTAGATGCTTGTACCATTCACCTCAGGTATTTCATTTCCATTGTTGAAGTAATATGCAGTGGTCCCTCTTTTATCTCTGGGGTTTTGTATTTAAAATAACAAAAAATAAATTAAATGTGCGACATATGTTTTCAGACTGTAAAACCCCTCACCACACACTTTATACATTTATGTAACTTACAACTGCTGTTTGTTGTCGCCCTGAGTGCTGCTGCAACCGTCAAAAGTCGTTCATACAGTGTAAAACACAGCTGCAGAGGACTTGGAGGACTGTGGGAGTTCTCTGTTTTCTTCTGACTTTAAATAAAAGTAACAGCCATGTTGGACTAGTGTTTCTAAGATCTTAAATATGATGTTGCTGGAGTACGCACACGATACATGAAAAGCACACTCTAAAAAGCACACAATAAACTGCAAAACCTCAAGGCAAAATGTGTGGTAGGGACCACTGTAACTGTATTGGGTGATGCCCTTGAAAAAGATACTTCTGCTAAATGACACTTATTAGTGAGTGTCATTTATTTAAGTTTCCCATTAAAGACAATGCAGCGAAAACAGAAACGTCCTTTTTTCCCAGGAGTCGTTTCCTTTGAGAGAGTTTTTCATTTGAAGTAAGTTGAAGCTGCTGCAGGAGACCACAGAGTTTAATATCACACAGATTCAAACATGAGGCTCGGTGCAGGTCTGTCACTCAAAAGTGACAGTAAATCAAGTGAAAACATTGGAACTGTTTCTGAGCGGGTAAAGACAACTAACCTGACTCTTGCCAAATCCTTCTAGTTCCACCATGCTCCACCAGAGGCGTTTCACTGAGCTCCACAAAAGGATTTGGGATAGAGGGAAATGCAAACTATTTCAACTTAAAAAAAATTATGAACCAATCAGGATTTCATATATTAGTAATTTTCATAGTTTAATTTGTTACAAGGGAAAACATTAAGAACAACATAAATCGGTTTTATATAGCGCTTCTTTTGAACACTCAAAGACATTATTCATTCCGATCATCACCAACACTCTCACCAGAATCATTCTGGGCAATGGGGGTGAAGTGTCTTGCCTAAGGACACAACAGCAGTTTGGCACTTTACAGCCGCAGCCACTGTGGCAGGTGTTCCCAGAGGTTAAGTGTCTTGTCAAGGACATTGGGAGTCGGTGGAGAAAGTCTTATGGTGGGCTCGAACCCACAACCTTCTGGCCCAAAGCCCAATGCTCTACCAACTGAGCCACTGTCGCTCAGTGGGTCATACTTTGGGTAATTCTTAGAGCAGCGGTCTCACACTCATTTTGGTTTTTATTTTGCTTTTTTTTGGAGAGCATTTTTATTTTTTGTTTAACTTATTATTATTATTATTATTTTAACTACTAACTAATGACTCCAGTTACTTGTTGGATTAACCTAAAACTGGAAAAAAAAAGGTAAGAAATGCTTGTAATTGTTGTTGGTCAATAATTTCTTCTTTTATTCAACTATTTCTAAAGATGGGTCGGGTTCAAATTTATTCAGAAGTTAAATTATGTGGTTGAAAGTTAGCCTAAAAATTCCAGCACCGTCAATAATAATAATACAACCATATTTGAAGGACTGTTAAAAGGGCCTTTTGTTTGACACCTGTGGCTTAGAGATAATGGGAGTAGCTCAACATAGAGCTCAACTTGGACCAGGTTTGCTGAGAGATAGAAAGCCTGGGAACAGACATGGAGAGGGATGTCCGGGCATTTCTACTCAGACTGCTGCCCCCCCAACCACCGACGAGGCAGAATTAAATGGATGAATGAGTCATACTGTTTAATTGGCAAATACAAAAACATATCATGCCGAGATAAAAGCATATTTACTTCATTTTTAATTACTGTAAGCAAATTTACTGTAGGATTTTGTGCTGAACTCATTTTGATTAGAGAAGGAATCATTACTTTAGCGGCCTAAAGTTGCTTTCATGGAGTAAAACTAATTAGTGGGAATATCTAACACTTGAAATGGCTCTGCAAGCGTTCTCATGCAGACTGTTTGTCACTGTGTTACTACAGGTACTCAGTTCTGGTGTCTTCTGGACATCGTACCCATTAAGAATGAGAAAGGAGAAGTGGTCCTCTTCCTCGTGTCCCACAAAGACATCACGGACAAGAAGAAGGAGCAGAATCCAGAGCAAGGGCCTGAGACCGGTAAGTCCACTGTGTATCATGATATCAGTGCAGACGTGTGATGATTGTAGGATGTAGGATTGATTGGTGGAGGACTCATTTTCTTAAAGTGATAGTCTGTAACTCTAAATGAATGAAATTTTTTTGGAAATGTGTTAAATTGACCTCCTGGCCTTAAATGTTGATATAAAATAAGTCATTTTATTAATTCTAATATTACGGGCAAGTCCCGCCTTCCCTGCTCTTAGCTATAGTTCAGAATCCACGGTGCCGTCCACGTTAACCAATCAAGTCATGCCAAGAGCTGTCAATCATTGGCGCTGATACTCGTAGCTGTGCGCATGCTCAGTTGTTTGTTTTCGCGGAGCCTCCGAATCAAGCCTCTATTAGGCTCTGGAACTACATGAAAACTGAACAAAGAATTCTGAACATCCACGCTGAGTTACTTATGTATATACTGAACCTATATCCATAATCAGATCCTCTGCAGATGTGTTCTATAATGTGCAGTTCATGATAATAGCTTGTTCCGGGTTTGCCACGATCGATTTTTTTGTGCATAAAAACATTATTTTTTTCATAAAAACGTTCACAAATAATTCTGAAAACCTCCGTGCATGTGTATTAATAATGTATATGTATAATGTGTTCTCTGATTAACATTGCAAAGTGTTATGGAAACGTAGGTGTAGACCAATCAGAAAGGAAGGGAGAGGAGCTTGCGTCGTTTTTTTCAAATCAAGTACCTCTCTGTGTCTCTTTCTGACAAACTCCAGACAATCACTTTAAGCAAACAATGTAGGATAATTTTAGCACACAAATGCAAAAAACATTGAAAACACATTGTATAAAGTGTAAAATGAAAATGAAAAAAAAAACAGAAGCACAAAATAGAACAGTGTGATGTTGACAGAACTCAATTATAATCAAGACACTTAAATGAAATTGAGGTGTTTCTAACCACTTTTGTACAATTCCTCTCACTAACCCCCAAACACTTTTAGATGCACAGCTAAATCTGGGCGCGCTTCACACACTGCAGGGGACTTGAATGGAAGCTGTTTTGGAACAATCGTCATTTACACAAGTGATCAGGTTTTTCAGTCCACACTATCAAGAAGGGTTTTGAGAATTCAAAAAGCTTTTAAAATATATTTCTGACTTGAAATAGACCGGAGTTAAAGCGAAAACGTCTGTCACGACAGTGACAGACATGATTTCAGATGTAGTTAACGGAAAAATATAGTTTATTCACAGTAATTTCACAATCTAGTAATGCATTTACAAAAGCCATAGACCAGAGGTTGATTATAGGATGATTGATTACTTGGATTATATTAATAGCCAAATAAAGAATGATTAGGAGGATAAGTTAAATCCAAACTTCAAGATGAAATATTTTGTTAATTGTCTGTATTTGGAGGATGTATTAACCTGCTTTAGAGCCATGTACAGTATGTTCAATGGTGAGTGGCAAAAATTGTCATTTTCTCTGCGCTACACACTCGGTCCTTATGTAGGCACTCAGTCAGAAGTGCATCTGCGTCCTTCATTTCTAAAGTGTAACCATTTCATGGATGCTCCTCTTAACGAGTTCATCCTGAGTTTCCCGTCGCCATTGGTAACCATTTGCTTCAGTGACCTTTCACTCGGACACTTTAATCTTTGTGAGTGTATCTTGAATCACTTTTATCTCTGTAGTGCCATTAGGTTTGGTAGTTTAAACCTGTAGATATGCTATTACTTATACACCTGTCGGTTTAAATCCCATTCTTAACTTTCCTCTACAGTTTATAGGCTGCTATAAACGCTGTATGGACTGAAAGATGGTCATCCTCAGTTCTGTCTTCGGCTACACCAAAGCAGTGTCAAATATCCTGTACGGATACAATGAGCAAATTAGATTTAGTGGCCCAAATGAAAATGATTTGGTTACAAGGGAGGGTATTTACCAAAGATGACATGGTAATAGGGATGGAGCGGATAATTCATGAATGTTAAAGTCAAACGAGGGCAATTATGCACTGCACCACCCATACAAATATGACTGTAGGATCAAAGATACTCAAGCCAACACAAGAATTGGTTTAAATCTATTGGAAAAAGAAACAAAAAGTGACGAATTGTCCGCAATGTGTGATGTGTGAGCCAATAGAAAAACAAAAGGGCTTTGTGGCACATGCCCAAAAGGGACAGCTGGGTTTGTTTCTTTGTGCCAATCTTTCCTTCATTTTGCCATTTATATACTATATTATTAAGTCCAATGCTTTTTTAATGGTAGGTTGAAATGAATACAGCATGTCCGTGTATTTGTTATCCATGTTTAGATGACTGAAAACTGTGTTTCTCAGATGAGGAGACGGGTCTGGAGGTGCACCAGGTCACTCGACCTCCAGGCTTCAATACAAACCGGCGCCGCAGCAGAGCTGTCCTCTATCACCTGTCAGGACACCTGCAGAAACAGGACAAGAGCAAACTCAAGATCAACAATGTTAGTACATACATATACATTTTTTCATTATGTGTAGGGTGTGTAGATTTAGACATTAGCTTCTCCAAATTGAGAGCCAAGCAGATCAAATGCAGAGGTATAATCGGTGAGATGTTTCAAACACCTCTGAATAAAATGTTTGAGGACAATGTATCATGTCCTTTTAATCATGAAAAAAATATAACTAAAAAAGAAAAAAATACAATGGGATGACTCAGAAACTTTAAGCAGTTCCTCCTTAAAGACACTGTCACGTTCTAATAAATAGTATCTAGTCCATATTCAGCAGCTTTGGTCACAGTGTCCACTGCAGCAATGGGCTGCGCACACTAAACAGATGGTCTGAAGGTCAACACTTAAACCACCTCTGTGGGACATGGTGGGTCATGGTGCAGGATATTCTGCTGATCTCAGAGTGGGAAACTGCACACGCAGCTGTTCTGAACAAGATGCTTTATTAAAGTCAATCATGATCAAGAGAACAGGAAATAATGTGAGATGGGCTAAGACACAGGTATTGAATGTTAAAAACTTGATAATGATACAAGTGAAAACCTGATAATACAAGCTTGCAATTTGTGTAAAACAATATTGTGTCGTCTGTTTGTTCATTTAGAACATGTTTGGAGAGAAGCCCCCTATTCCTGAGTACAAGGTGGCAGCCATTCAGAAATCTCGCTTCATCCTGCTTCACTACGGGACTTTTAAGGCAGGCTGGGATTGGCTGATTCTTCTGGCCACTTTCTACGTGGCAGTCACAGTGCCCTATAATGTGTGCTTCACTGTGGGAGGGGGGCGGGACGAGGGGAACATCAACGCCCCGAGGAGCCCCCCCAGCGTCAGCGACATCCTGGTGGAAATCTTGTTTATCTTAGGTCAGTACTAACATATTTTACAATCTTTGTTTTTTATTTTTATTTAACGGGTGCATGTTTATAATTGGGAACATGCAAGTTAAATTAGGGTTATGCAATGCATCAAGATCAAATTATTTAAGTGACGTCTTGACCTGAAGAAGTATCCTGTATTTTTGATTCTCGAGCTTTTGTCAAATCACAACATTTAAGTACTGATTCTCAGAGCTAAAGAATGGAGGACATGGTACTTAGACATGGTACTTAGGCAAGGTGCCTTGCCCTCTCCAGGTGGGTGGAGAGGTCCTTCCTCAAGTGGAGGAGTTCATGTATCTCGGGGTCTTGTTCACGAGTGAGGGAAGAATGGAGCGTGAGATTGACAGGCGGATCGGTGCAGCGTGCGCAGTGATGCGGTCGCTGTATCGGACCGTTGTGGTGAAGAGGGAGCTGAGCCGAAAGGCAAAGCTCTCGATTTACCTTTGTTCCCTCCCTCACCTATGGTCATGAACGTTGGGTAATGACCTAAAGAACGAGATCTCGGATACAAATGGAGCTTCCTCCGCAGAGTGGCTGGGCGCTCCCTTAGAGATAGGGTGAGGAGCTCAGAGTAGAGCCGCTGCTCCTTTAGAGATACACGGGAGTCACACGGGAGGAGTTCGGAGTAGAACCGCTGCTTCTCCAAGTCGTCAGGAAACAGTTGAGGTGGCTCGGCCATCTGTTCCGGATGCCTACTGAAATTGGGTGGCTGGAGGGAACATAGTAAAAATAAAATTGACACTATTCAAGCCAATAGTGAATGCAATTGTAATCTGTCTGTGGAATAGACAATGAGTGAAATTTACTAACCCTGTTTTCCTCAAAAATGTTTTTTAAAGTGAACAACAAAAGTAGACAAATGTTTGTGACAGAAAGTGTGATTTGATTCAGAAGCAATTCTGCTCCTTTGGCGTATAAAGGGCTGTTACATAACTACATAATACATTCAAATACTGAAAAGGTTTCATGTATTCATACATACTTAAACATACTGTACTGATACAAACTGTGTTGTTGTACAAAGAAAATAAAACTACAACTAGAGACTTCTATCTGTCAATACTTACATTTAGAGTTAGATTTTTAACAATTATCCCCATGCAGTAATACAAGGATATGAGGAAAATTATACATCGGACAATTATATCTGATTGCAAACTCATTTCCTTTCTACTTCCTGAGTATCCAACACTCTGTACAAAACCTATGAGTGCACTTTAAATGACCATTTGGCATAATGGAACCGAATGGGAACCCAAATAATGGACACATTAAATGTATACATGTCGCTGACAGTTGCAGAGGTCTGTCTGTCCTCTTTGGAAACACTAAAAGCTTTTGTTAGATTGGAGCTAAATTCTCCTCATTTTATTTTATTGCACTTACTGGTTTTGTAAGTCAATTCAATCACAATGTATTTGTGAATGTAACATCAGAGAACCTTTTTGGTCATATAGTTTGGAGTAGTAGTAGTATTAATAGAAGTAGTATTGGTAGTTGTTGTAGTAGTAGCTAGAAGTGTGTATGTTTTACTGCATCTCATTAGTTACTTCAGTTTTATATCAGTAAGTCATTAAAAAGTCAATATCAGTCTCTCAGGCTTCTTCTCTAAAGACTTATCACTGAAATATACTAAAATGTACCTAGGTTGCATATAATAATACTGTTAAGCTTTTTATTCCATATCTTAATCATCACAATCACATTGCAGTTTTCTATCCAGTCCGCAAAAAATATCTAAGCTCGTAATCATCTTTCAACATCTTATACTTCAGATTAAAAAAAAATAATGTACCTTATGCGAAGTCAAAATATCAACTTTGAATACATGATGTAATTGTGAGTCACATTTGTTATTTTTGGTATCTTTTTCTGTCTAGTGCTGGTGTAAAATCTTGTAAATGCATACAGTTGATATGTTTTTTATTTCATGGAGAACTATAGACTGTTTGTGATGCTGAGGTTGAGGCTGGAGTTTTGGCCTCTGATGACTATTGTTTCTATTCTATTCTATTGTATTTTAAAAACTTTCACATTTCTAGGAGACATGGTTCATATTTCATCAATGGGCGACAAACAATAACATTAGAGTAAACTTTGACCTCTTGGCTGTAGACCATTGTATTCATATAAAGCTGTGTTTCTTCTTTCAGACATAGTGCTGAATTTCCGCACTACTTTTGTGAGCACGTCAGGTCAGGTGGTGTATGACGCCCGCTCCATCTGTGTCCACTACGTCACCACTTGGCTGTTTGTGGACCTCATCGCTGCTCTTCCCTTTGACCTCCTGTACGCCTTCAACGTCAGCGTGGTGAGTCAGGCCTCCCTTCACACAAACACATGCAACATATGTTCACGCTCACCCACCAGCGTGTCAGACGTCTGCGACATCTGCAAATCCTCTCCACCTTTGTTCCACGCAAAGGACAATCTCATGAATCTCGATAGTTCATTTTCCAAGCTGGCCGCGGCGATGTGCCAAGTTCAGAGACGGAGCACAATAGAGCATAACGTCAAAGCATCTCCCGTGAGTCTCACATCCACTCCTCCAAACTCCTCCTCAGAAGACACCCGGCCCAGAGCCAAGCAAAGATGATCCTGATTCTGATTTCCCCTGTGCTTGAAAAACGACAAACTAAAATTAAAGACGCACTTTGCAACTTTCATGATTGGGGTATGCTTTTAGTTTTGGTTCCTAGTTTTAAATGTTGTTATTTTGCTCAGTAGGATATTGCATTTCACATCTACATTGAGACTTCACTTGGCTAAATTGCAAGTCTCATATAAGTCTCTGCGGAGAGACTTTCCGACTCAATGAGGATGTTTACAAAGACAACTCATCACAGTCTACACGCGCTCTATTCAACCTATAAAATTGACACTTTTATTGTAATTGCCATCATATATAATGTAAAAGCACACTTTTTTTATCCTGATTTTTCTGTAACCAAATGAGCAGCAAGTGACTTATTCTATATGTGTCCATTTACTGTACATACAATTCTATAAAAACAAAATATAAATCATATTAAAAAGCTCTGGTTTCCCCTGCCACTAAAAACACCTACAATCGGTGATGGTTGGACAAGTGTGTGTTTGTGAGTGTGACTGTAGGACTACAGATGGAATTCAGCAACAAAGCTAAAGTCTAGTATACATTAATACACACTGTCCCGTCGCAATAAACAAGTATTATGAATATCAGCTTAACCGGAGTGCAAATGGTTCAATTCAGTTATGACCCCGTATTTCAGAAGAAACTGGCATTTCAAACCAGTTTACATTTATGTCGCATTCACTAGTGCTTTGTAAACATACACAATTCAAGAATATAGGTTTTTGAGCAGTGAAAATATCTGTAAATAATTAACATACACATTATATATGATACTGTGATATATTCCAAGCAAATACCCAACATGCAGTAGTTGAAACAAATGCATTATTGAACAGAAGGATTGTTTTGTTTGTCCTGTTTGCAGTACTTTGGAGTGAACCTGCTGAAGACTGTGCGGCTGTTGCGGCTGCTGCGGCTGCTGCAGAAGCTGGAGCGTTATTCTCAGTACAGCGCAGTGGTGTTGACGCTGCTCATGTCCATGTTCGGGCTGCTGGCGCACTGGATGGCCTGTGTGTGGTACTTCATTGGACGCAGGGAGATCGGGAGCCCTGTGTCCTGGGACATTGGTCAGTGCTGTTTGTATACAACCACTGATAAATTATAAATTGTATAATATAAATAGTATGGTCTTTTCAGGCTTAACAATGTACAGCTTTACAGGCTTAACCACGTCATAACATTACATGAAAGTCATTATTTATCTACTTCATACTCAGTGGTACAACAGGAAATTATGACTGCTAAAATAGGTTTCTTTACCGTTATATTAACTATAGAATACACATATTTTCAGTGGACGAGTGACACGCCCGATACAATTGTCTTATTTACTTATTTTCTCTGTTGCTGCAGAGAGTCTAAACAACAATAATCCTGTTATGTGAATCATAATCAAACCAACAGCACATCAATGATTCCCTTTTACTTTTATAGTCATGATATTAGATATTTACTGATGTCTAAATGTAGTTTCTGTCGATGGGTATTATTGCTCCGAAGGGAAATGTGGTCCATTTTCTCTTTGGTCGGAAAGCTTTTAGACTGTATTTGTTTACTGCTGCCACATTTTACGGCTACTCAGTGTGTGCTTTGAATATTCAGCCAAAACCATGATAAAGAAGATGTGATCCATAGAGAATGGAAAGGAAACATTCAGCTTTGTGAATCATGGTGTTCCCAGATGCTTTTTGTTTATTATTTTCTAATCTAATGCATTGAATACATTAACACAGACGACAGCATAACTGAAGCACAATTTTATCTCCACTATCCTTCACACTAATATGAGCCTTTTTTAATTGGCGTTGATAGTATGTAACACTAACTTGCACCACATCAATATAGTATTCAGACATATAATGGCTGACCGATCAATGACACAGGCTCTTTCAGCACCTCTGATATTATGCCATACAGCAGAGGCCCTTTCTCTGCCAGTCACTTGGATACAGTGCATGTCAGCGGCACAGTATGTCATCAATAATTAAACGGAGCAGAGTTGGGGCCGTTCATATAACTGCTGTTGTGAGAGTCAGGCCTCATGGAGTATGGAAGCAGAGAAAGTGGATTATAGTACCACGTTAATGGATGACTATAAAGTACCTATTACAATCACCCTAGCATAGATATGGAAGTGCTACTGTTACGAGCCACAGGTGGTGGTGTCTAGGACGATGGCTCAATAACTGATTTACCAGATGGGGAATAGAGACGGGAAGCAGGGGTCCAAAACAGAAACAAAATATTTAATGTTTTAAATGCGCAAACAGAAACCTTAAGCTAAGCACAATAAAGAAACAATTCTACAACAAAGTGAGGACAAATCCTGTGATTCAATATTTCTTTAAGTGACGGCTCTTTGTTCCGTATATAGGATATGGATCGGTATTTTACTGGCTGCCTGGCTATATTCTGTTCACATGGATACATGTATACATTTCAACAGAGTAGGTTTCGTTTCCATTCAATTTCCATAACTTTGATTATGGATTATGTTTATATATTTATGGTCATGCATAAAGAAAACAGATGAAGAGACACATACTGTTGCTCATATAGAATCAGCCGTTTATTCAGTCTGATATGCAGTGTATTATTACACTTTTCATCATTTTCCTTTGTTTATTTTCAGTGTATTAAGGTACCACTTCACCATTGTGAAGTAAGAAACACAAGCCTTAAATATAATGAATTCCACTCCCTTTGTACAGTCCTCGGGAAATGTTTTTGCCTGAGTGCTCTGAGAAAACCCAAGACTGGCTGGACAAGTGTCATGCATGCACCGTGAGCAGCTGTAGAGGGACTAGCACCATGGACAGCTCATGATTGTGAATTCAGCACCACGGACAGCGGCACATCAATTTCTCTGTGAACATCAGCGAAGTGTTTGATATCGGAGCAATCTCCAAGACAGGGCTGTTCTTACACACAGCGCGTGCAATAGTCATGTTTGGATCATTGTCCATTCCATTAGGAGGCACCGTTCTAGGGTCTGTTTTAACACAGGGATGATGCAAATTATACAGAAAGATTATGGAAAAAAATATTGTTCTTCACTGTTTTTTTAATGCATGACAAATCAGTTATTGTGCAAAGGGTTTAAAATGATACTAGTGAATCGAGTTAATAAAAGATAAAGGTAAAGGTGCACTTTATGTATCCCCTTAGGGCAATTCATCCTCTGCATTTGACCCATCCTGGTGCCACTAAGGCGTACGTCAGGAGCAGTGGTCGCCGTAGTAACAGCGCCTGGGAACCCATCTCCAGATGCTGATGCTCGGCTTGGGCAGGACTACCGCAGCTGGAGGATTTAACCTATTGGACATATTTTTATTGGTGGGGGAAACCAGAGCACATAGAGAAAACCTACGCAGATACGGGGAGAACATGCAAACTCCACTCAGGACCTTCTTGCTGAGAAGCTAGAGTCCTATCCACTCAGCCACCGTAACGCCCACAATACGACCATTTTACTGATCACAAATAGTAAGTGTTATATGGAATTAAAATCAAAACCAATGGCTTGATATAGAGCAGTCCTTTGAAAGTCAGAAAAGCATTTGGAACTTAAGCATTCATTCAGTATCTGCAGGCGAACGGCTCTTCCTGAAATAACAATCCAATTATCTTTTGGCACAAGATTACACTCACTGCCTTGTGTGACTTACACAGTGCTGACATAATAAGGAAGCGGAATGTTTTAAGTGAATTTGATCTGGTCTGTTGTTGAGTGACTGGAAAAGGGCAATTCGCTGGCACATTAGATTAAATGGAAGGTGTGTCTTTTTGTGTGAATGCTATCCCAGATCCTATTACCATATGACAACTATATGAGTAATGTACACAGAGGCTTTTGTGTTCCCCTTGTGACTGATGGGATAAAAGGAAGCGCTCATACCCTATTTGTTATCAGTACACACACAGTCCAGCCCTCGACTTGTCTGTGACTGCACACTGCCGCTCAGGTTAAGAGCTGCTAATGACAAAGAAATTAAAAAACTACTCAGGTGTGAAATCCTCCAATGTTGTTTGTTAGGATGCAACTCAGCTCCCGGCTCAGTGTTCGGAGGATGCAGGCAGTGACACATGACAGCATCAAGTACTGGATAGCACAAACACGCACACGTAGACACAAGGTCAGGCTGGTCTCTGGATATAAATATGTAAGTAAAGCTTTGCATCCTCTGCCCTGGTTTTCCACATACAGCGTCTGTTTGCTGTGTTATTCAGGGCTTATCGTAGCTTCTTTTCAATTTTTCAATAGTTTTACCTTTTGTTCTCTTTCCTTTGTCCCTTATCTGCCCAAAGCTTCAGTATTCTCTTTGTAAATTTGCCTCATGCACTTTTGATTGCTGACTATTCTTTTGTAACTGCAACAATATCATTTCCAAGCCAATCCAAAATGCCTTTCCTTGTGTTAGGGTGAAGAAATGAAAATTGAGCCAAATATTAATGCTGTTTTAAAATGAAAGCGTAAAAATAGACAAATATAAATGGTTAAGCTTATGGAATTGCAATTATAATAAATCAAATACTTCTCAATTTATAACAGTCCACAGTGTATCCAAACTACTAGGCCTTTTTGCATATGTCGGAAAAAAGATGCTTGATTGATAGTGATTTTTTACTATGTAATACTAGATAGGATTTTTATCAAAATGGAGCTCAACAGTCCCATTCACTCTGGATCCATGAGTAAAATCACAGGATTTTAACAATGTGTTTGTTTTCATCCAAAAGACTCCTTCTCTACTTTAAATTTGGCAAATAACTGTTGAATAAAAATGTAGTCCTTGTGGTTATCCTTCACCACAATGCTAATAAGCCCCCAGCAAGCTTTCAAACATCTATTTTTATTTTTCTGAGCATGTGTGAAGAAAATATTCTTTCATTCCGTATGCCATCCACGGCAAGAGGAGGACCATCATGCCAAAGGACATCCAGCTGGCCTGTTGCATGGCTTCAAGCAGTAGCCTCATTCACAAGCTGTATCCTGGAACTCGCTTTAGGACAGCTGTCAGCTTCTACAATGAACACTGTTTAATTTTTGTATTTTTACTACGTATAATTTCATGTTTCTGTCTATTGTCTGAATTTTATGTCTATCAGCTAGTGACGGAAAGGATGTATAAAGTATTTATCTATCGATCTATAAATTATATATATGACTATCTATTGAGAAAAGGTGAGAAAGGTGAGCTTTTTTCACAATTTATATAAAACAAAACACTTAATATTTAATCCAGCAGCTTTATGGCACCAATATACACTTTTTATCAAAACTACTTTTTTCATTTTTTGCTGTCGATTATGACATTGTACATTTTTGCACCTTTCGCTGTAGCTAATTCACATTGTTGTCTTGTTCAGGTTGGCTGCATGAACTGGCGAAGCGTCTGGGCACCCCGTACTTCCTGTCCCCCTCTCCCACACTGGTTCCAGGGGGTGTTAGTGGCCTGCAACCCAACAGCTCGCACTGGAACATGAGCGGCTCTGAGATGGGGGGACAGACATGGAATTCCTCGCAGTATTTTGGAAACATCTCTGTGGCGGACGCAGTGTCCGGGGCCGATGCAGGGGCCGTGAGCATGGGGGGCTTGGCCGGGGGTCCCTCCATGCGCAGCAGCTATGTGACCTCCCTGTATTTCGCCCTGAGCAGTCTGACCAGCGTGGGCTTTGGGAACGTCTCAGCCAACACCGACTCGGAAAAGATTTTCTCCATCTGCACCATGCTCATTGGAGGTCAGTTTGATACATCCATTGTCTCACTTGGATACAACACACTGGAAAGAACAAATGTATAAAAATATAACTTCAAGATGTTTCTGATTTGTGAGCAAGACATTTTTATGTTTTGTGGTAAGATAAAGTGATAATGGGCAAATGTATTCTCAATATATACATGTATTAAAGCAGGCATAACTAATCTGTATTTTTCAAAAATAATATTATTTTGTACCAAAAGAAAGAATCTTCTGAAAACAAGATATAGTGAATAAACCAAATTACATGGTGCTGTTTTTATCATATGTATATTTTACTTACAAATATCCCTGTGAGTTCATTTTTCTGTCTGAAAAATGCATGTGGAAACTTTATGGTTTTCATTATGGATTTCATTATTTATTCATTTATTGACCTTTGTTTAACCAGGAAAGTCCCACTGGGATTCCAGCATCATTTTATTTCAGGGGAGTCCTGGCCCCAGAGCGAGGAAGCTATATTGTACATGTTTTAGTGGTGGGTAAACCAGAGCACCCAAAGGAAACCGACGCATGAGCAGATCAAGCAAACAATAGTCGTTCAAAAGGCACAATTTTCATTCAATGCCACGTTACACCTTCTGGTTACATTTTTATAATCCAGTGTCATTGCATTATGTACCAAGAGTGAGACACTACATTCAGCACACAGTACACCACAATTTCAGTTTCCCAAGGTTCCTAAAAATCATTCATTGTCACTCGCACAACAGCCATCTGTGAGGAAAAGTGGAGTATTCTTTGATAGCAACTCTTTTCATCACACTACTCTTCATCTAAGGCTTTCCAAAATATTTTCAAACTTTTGAAGATTCGTCAGACTATAGGAATAAATGACAGTGGGTGTTTTAAGGACACACATTAAGCTGTGCTTATATTTTCTCGGGTCTGAAAGTATAATGTAGAATTGAAGGTTTTATGTCAAAGTCTGTTCTTAAAAGTAGCTGCTGTGTCATTGGGCAGTGTGTGTGCTTGGCAGCTGTGAGTCTTTTGCAGAGTTCGTATATATCTGCTCGGTTGGCCACTGCGCCGGAGGGGGCAGTCATTCAGATGTGAAGACATTACTCAAGGCTGCACTGGGCTGTGTAGGTGGGCCACCTCAGCAAGTTTACATTTGGGGACATTGTCAGTGCACCGGTAAACTGGGATTCTTTATTTGACAGGGTGTTTCTGCAGCAGTCTACGGCCCATTCATTTCCAAAAAGATACAAAACAACACATATATTTAATTATTTATTTATTTCAGGCAAACTAATATCATAAAAAGCATACCATCAAAATAAACAATTTTGCCTGAAAGGGAGAGGGAACAAGAGAGCTTTAACTTTTTCCATGTATAAGTATAGGTTTTGATTAATTATTGGTTTTATTATGGTGGTATTTGATTTATGTTTGTTAAATCTGGAATACCTAACCCTAACCCTAAAAAAACATAAACCTAGCTGTAGTCCCTCGCTCTTGAAATAGTTCCACTTTTCACATGCATGCATTTTTTTTACTCTTTCACAGCTTTAACTCAGCTTTCTTCGATAGAAAAGTGACTAATGTCGAATGTGACGCTAGGACAGTAACAGTGGTGACAATCAACGTCATCCAAGTGTATAGAAAGTGCTGTTGTTGTTGGGGACTGATGCACGTATATATGTATGTAGATTTTTCTTATTGAATAAATGAAAAAATGTTTATAAAATGAAATAGATAAAACAAAACTTGCTATGGTAAAAGTCTTGGAATCTTGAAGTCTTGCATGAAAAGGGCTTTTCACCTCTGGTTTGTCCATTGTCCTGATAGAGCTCATTAGTGAACAGTGAGTCAACAGTAACCTTTGCAATTCTCTAAAGTACTTTGTTCTTATGAATCATATATAGTTCAGTAATATCCAACAAGAACCACTTTGCTCTGAATGAAACTCACATTAAACACTTATTTTTCTCTCTGATGTTGGTGTCTTGTGTGTTTCAGCCTTGATGCATGCGGTGGTGTTTGGGAACGTCACGGCCATTATACAGAGGATGTACTCGCGCCGCTCGCTCTACCACACTCGCACAAAAGACCTGAAGGACTTCATCAGGGTGCACCGTCTGCCCAAGGCTCTTGAGCAACGCATGCTGGAGTGTTTCCAGACGATGTGGTCAGTCAACAATGGGATAGATGTCAACGAGGTGAGGGTCTTAGTGAGGTTCTGTGTGGCTGCTTAGGCATGCACCACAACGGTACTTACTTGTAAATTTGTAAATGCTTTTAAGTTAATATTACTTTTATATTTGTGAATGTTCAAATGCAAGCACAGTGTTTTACCCCTGCTTCCTAATTAAATTAATTAATATTGACAAGCAAGCTCTCTCCCCATTGGGCTAATTGTGAAACCCATTAGTTTAAAGTGTGAAGGGGAAGGACTTCTTAAAGTATATATTCATTTTAGTGCTGTCCAACGATTAAAATATTTAATCGCGATTAATCGCATGAATTTCATAGTTAACTCGCGATTAATCGCAAATTAGTCACCCATTTGCGTGCTGTGTGCAATTGCTTTTTTTATTGAAAACAATGTGTAGTGTTATATTACACACTAACATTTGATGCAAAATCATCAATAAATGGATGACAAAATAAATAATTGGTAACAAAAAGCCCCTTCAATGTGTGTGTGGAGTGTGTGTGTTTATGGGTGTGGGTGTGTGTGTGTATGTGTGGGTATAGACCATAGACTGTATAGAAACATCATGGTGTCATTATGATGATGATAAACAATTTTTTTTGTAAATTTGTTCATGTAAATACTCTATGCTGTTTCTCAGTTTACTTTCGGTATATCTATGACTGTATACTGTTTGCTTGTATTGCCTTTTTTATTAACCCCTCCCCCCCATCTCCCACTTCATGTCCCCCCCCCTCCTATGTGCCCTTCTGGGTTTCTTCTTTGGCCCCCTGTATCTCCAACTACACTATTGTTTGTAATCTCTGTCTACAATGTATCTTAACTAGTCCTTTTCTTTGTGTCTATTTTTTTCTGTATATGTGTTTGTCTGCAATAAAAAGTAAAAAAAAAAAAAAAATTTTTTTTTTTTTTTTTAATAATTATAAAAAAAATTAATGGCGATAAAAAAAATGACGCCGTTAATATTGATTTGCGTTAACGCGTTAATAACGCGATATTTTGGACAGCACTAATTCATTTATATATTTTTGCTCTTATTTCAGATCCATGTATTAGTCTTCCTATTAAATAAAGTGCATGACTTTCATTCAACTGAAAAATGGACGATGGAAACGTGAACCGCAGGGAGTTTGAGTTCAAATTAAACTGTTTTTTCATGAGTGGCTTTATTTGACTCTCGACTCTTTTCTCCAGTTGAATAAAAGTTCATGCTATCCACTGGAAAATATTTCAAAACACAAAAATAATTGTAGCTGCTACTTATGTCTCTACTTGTGTATGCTTTACACTGTGTCACCACCAACTCTAGATACATTTATAAGTTTAGGCAGAGCATTTTGTGGAGAAATCAGTGGTACATGTTGATGTTTAACCACAGTCCTCCCTCTTTAGCTTCTAAAGGACTTTCCAGATGAGTTACGTGCAGACATCGCGATGCACCTGAACAAGGAGCTGCTGCAGCTGCCGCTGTTTGAGTCGGCCAGCAGGGGGTGTCTGCGCTCGCTGTCACTCATCATCAGGACGTCGTTCTGCGCTCCAGGAGAGTTCCTCATCCGCCAGGGAGATGCCCTGCAGGCCATTTACTTTGTCTGCTCCGGCTCAATGGAAGTCCTCAAAGACAACACTGTGCTGGCCATCCTGGGTACGTCAAACACCACCAATTATGTTCACGGTTCAATTTCATGCTTTGTGGTGTATTTATCTGGGAATGGGACTGGTCATCTAGAGATTATTGGTGGCTGTCAATGTTGGCCACCACCCAAAGCCTGCAGTCGTTCAGTGACCATTGGGGTGTGACAGATGCTGGAATATAGACTCCAGTGTCTCATCCGCTCTATGGCTCGTTCAACCAAAGAGGAAAGGTTAATAACAGAAACCAAAGAAACGTTATGCTGCAGCAGATTTCAAAAGTACAAATCACTTGCTTTACCTTTCATATCCAATGAACAGTATAAATCATAAAACCTTTGCTGAAAGGTTATGTTTGATTTGAGACAAAATTACATGCTGCGAGATAATCATCTCTAGTGGCTCTAAAATTGAAAATGGCACCTTCACTTCAAGACAATTAGCCATCAAACCAGACCTTAATGAGCCGTAGCATGATCATGATTTCTGAGAGGTGAGAAATGACACGTGCATGTTTCACAGACGCAAACATCATTAAACATTTATGAAAATGACACAACGGATTGTTCCTGTTCCAGATATTTCACATGAAAGGCCACCGTGACGAAGATTTGTTTTACCTACGTAAGCAATCCTCACACATCACCATCCAAAACGAGATCTCAAATGAGTGCTGTTGACTGAATTTCTTAGTAAATGAAGTCATATGTTAGCAGATGCAAATAATGTGTTTTAATTGTTCCATATCAGTGCGAGTGTGGTGACTTGATGGTACTGTCAGCTTTCCCTCTGAGCCATGTGACTGATGAGTTTAAAGAGAGAAATGATTATATAAACTATAACGAGAAACAAAACGAAAAGGAAAAGACATATGCGTTTGTGTTTAAACTTGTATTATTTAAGATATTCACCTATACAGTATATTTCCATAAAAAGTCAAATTACAATTCAGATTGGCTTCCTGTGCTACTCTCCAGAGACATGTGAAGAATAACTTTTTTGACAGGAGTAATAAGTGCTGCCAGACACTTGATCTGCAGGAAAAAGGATCTCGCTGCAGTAGGTGGAAAAAATAGATATGAGTTTCAACAATGAGACGGACAGCGTTGCGGGGACAGTCTTCGGGGCGAGCAGAGTAATGTCATGGTCCAGCTTGAGCCGTGGAGCAGGAAGTCCATCACATGTGGCAGAGTGTGACAAGGTAGCGGGCGTGAGTGAAGGGAAGAGGAAGGACGCTGATGTAGCCACAGCAGGGGCTCAGAACCAGACAGCCTCAGCTCTGTCGCTACTCACTGCTTTAAAGGTTTTCCAGTGATAGATGGATTCTATAGAGGGAGATAGATGATGGAAAAAACCTTTTACAGGGCGTGTATTTTGTGTCTGTCGCACTATAAGAAGAGAAGAAACAAACATTGTACCTGGTAGAGGCTTTGATTTAATACATGACAGGTCTGCTTCAAAAGAGTTTTTTCTTCTGCGTTTGTTCCTCAACATAAACATTTTAGGCGTGTGATATGCTTGAAGGATACTATATCACGGCACCGAGCTCAATCTTGAAATGCACACTTTGACGTTCACCGTGAGATACATTTTCATATTATTAGATTTACATTACATCCCCCCGTCACGTCCTCTGTTACAGAGGCAGAGGCTGAGGATGTTGGGGCGGATACATCTATCTCCCTGGCTGAGGTCACCAAGGTGGTTGGTAGCCTCCATGGTGGCAAGGCTCCGGGTGTGGATGAGATCCGCCCTGATTATCTAAAGTCTCTGGATGTTGTAGGACTGTCTTGGCTGACACGTCTCTGCAACATCGCGTGGCGATCGGGGGCAGTGCCAATGGAGTGGCAGACCGGGGTGGTGGTCCCTCTCTACAAGAAGGGGGACCGGAGGGTGTGTTCCAATTATCGTGGGATCACACTCCTCAGCCTCCCCGGTAAGGTCTACTCCAGGGTACTGGAGAGGAGGTTACGGCCGATGGTCGAATCTCGGATCCAGGAGGAGCAGTGTGGTTTTCGTCCCGGTCGCGGAACACTGGACCAGCTCTATACTCTCCATCGGATACTCGAGGGTTCATGGGAGTTCGCCCAACCTGTCCACATGTGTTTTGTGGATTTGGAGAAGGCGTTCGACTGTGTTCCCCGGGGTGTCCTTTGGGGGGTTCTCCGGGAGTACGGGGTCGGGGTCCTCTGCTGAGGGCCATCCGGTCCCTGTATGACCGGAGCCAGAGCTGTGTTCGCATTGCCGGCAGTAAGTCAGACCTGTTCCCGGTGAATGTTGGCCTCCGACAGGGCTGCCCTTTGTCACCGGTTCTGTTCACTGTATTTATGGACAGAATATCTAGGCGCAGCCAGGGGTTGGAGGGGGTCCGGTTCGGAGACCACAGGATTTCATCTCTGCTGTTTGCGGACGATGTTGTCCTGTTGGCTCCAACGAACCAGGACCTGCAGCATGCACTGGGACGGTTTGCAGCCGAGTGTGAAGCGGCTGGGATGAGAATCAGCACCTCCAAATCCGAGGCCATGGTGCTCGACCGGAAAAAGGTGCCTTGCCCTCTGCAGGTGGGTGGAGAGGTCCTTCCTCAAGTGGAGGAGTTCAAGTATCTCGGGGTCTTGTTCACGAGTGAGGGAAGAATGGAGCGTGAGATTGACAGGCGGATCGGTGCAGCGTGCGCAGTGATGCGGTCGCTGTATCGGACCGTTGTGGTAAAGAGGGAGCTGAGCCGAAAGGCAAAGCTCTCGATTTACCGGTCAATCTTCGTTCCCTCCCTCACCTATAGTCATGAGCTTTGGGTAATGACCGAAAGAACGAGATCGCGGATACAAGCGGTCGAAATGAGCTTCCTCCGCAGAGTGGCTGGGCGCTCCCTTAGAGATAGAGTGAGGAGCTCAGTCACACGGGAGGAGCTCGGAGTAGAGCCACTGCTTCTCCACGTCGAGAGGAACCAGTTGAGGTGGCTCGGGCATCTGTTCCGGATGCCTCCTGGACGCCTCCCTGGGGAGGTGTTCCGGGCACGTCCCACCGGGAGGCGGCCCCGCGGAAGACCTAGGACACGCTGGAGGGACTATGTCTCTCAGCTGGCCTGGGAACGCCTTGGGGTCCCCCCGGACGAGCTGGAGGAAGTGTGTGTGGATAGGGAAGTCTGGGCGTCTCTGCTTAGACTGCTGCCCCCGCGACCCGACAACGGATAAAGCGGAAGAAAATGGATGGATGGATGGATGGATGGATAGATTTACATTTATTGATTGAGATGGCATGAATATTCCGAAGAATATCCAATGGCCCAATGTTTCTTGTATTTAAAAATTTCCCAAATATGACGTTTCAAATATGCATTAAATCTATTATTGAATAGACTAATGCAAAATCAAGAGGGTACATTTGTTTATAGTAAAATAGATAATAGATAGATACTTTATTGATCCCCGTAGGAGAAATTCAGGTGTCCAGTAGCAGCAAAAACACATCCAAACATACAAACAAAACAAATAAATACTTAATTCTAAAAGTATCTAACAATAGTAATAAAATGCAGCAGTACTTTAGGTCACTGCAGCAGAGGTGGAGTCGCCGCTGGGTTTCGGACCATTTTCTCTGCTCGGGTCTAGACTGAAAATGCTGAATGCTTTATTACACACTTATAGCTGTGTGTTGCTAGAAAACATAGGCTCCTGAGAGATTATTGACAAAACTTGAGGGCAGATGTTGTTTGGAGCCCTAATTCATTTAATTTGTGGAGTTAATTATGTACTTGTGAATTTCCCCTGCAGTCGTATTTAATTCAGTATATTGTATGTTCAATATATCTCAATATTTGTGTGATCTCTCGGTGAATAGTTGTGTAATTGCGGGTGGCTGCTAAAGACCGTGATTAATGTACTTTTGAATGAGACCTAACCTAGCGGGCTATAGCAGCGTGGCACAAAAGCACACCTGTACAAACAGCTTAGTATAATTGCTTTAGCTGGCTCACTCGCACGTTCAAATCTAATTTCCTCTTGAGCTTCGGCACGACTAATCCACCAAACAAGCCTTCCTGAAACATCTTCTATGTCAGTCGGTAAGCGAGAAGACTTTTTTTTGCATTTCTGTATCCGTCTATGTCAGACAAGTCGGCTTCTGCAAAGGTCAGGGTGTACTGAATTGCTGGTTAGGAGCATGTGTTTTGTGAGAGGGTGAAAGCAGAGCTGAAGTGGGTTCAGTGGAAATGCCAAGCCCCCAGCCTCATATTTGATGCCGATCATAACACACGTCAATAGACTGAATGCACTGCTGCTGATATTAATAATAAATATGGATATTACATTATTTAAACACCTTGATTATAAATGCTGAAGTGTGGAGAGAGCCAAACCCCCACAGAGCATCAGTGTTCAAATGGGCAGTGTAGTTACTGGTCTACACTGAACATGCAACACTCACGACACCATTTAGGCTTCTGCAAACTGGCAGAGAGTTCAAAGAAGCGCATGTCCTTGAGAGGAGAGATGCTCTTGGATTTCCTGATTCTGATGGGACACATATGCACATGGTCCAAAGATGTATTTAGTCTGGTTTTAAAAGTATTATTGAATTGCAGAAATGATTAATGCAATCTACTAAACCCGTGACGGAATTTAGCAGAATTCTGTACTAAATACATATAATTAATACAATTTTCTCAGGTCTTCAATGAAACTTTCGAGGACTGTAAAAGGAATTTGCATAATAAACCCACAATGTTCATTGTGCTTCATTAAATTAAATATGCAAAGTAGTAAATGTTTTACAGTTAGCCATTTTACACCTATGTCCAAATAGCATGTCCAAACCATAACTGTGGCTTGCTGTGTCGTTTTTATGTGGCTCACTGCTGCTAACAAAAAACAATTGGGGTACTATCACAGTGTCATCCAGCCAACTGCAGCTCCACCAATATAGTCATGTTCCATAAAGCTCGTAAAGCTCAGAATCCTTGTCCAATGTGGACATACAGTATCATAGCCAATTGTAAAGCCCAGAGCAGCCCAAATACAGTGAATCCATGGGGTCGGCCCCTGGACAAGTCTGGTGAACTACAAACCCAGATCCCGGTTACGAAATAGTTTGGACACCTTTGTATTCAACTTTACTGAAATGTACATGAATTATGAGATATTTTTCCCATATTGAAACTCTTTGAGTGGCTTTGCAGCAAAACCTAAATATAAAACAGCTATGAAAGTGTCAATTTAAAAGCCGGTGAAATGCCGAAACGTAATGAAACTTTATGACAGGTGTTAGGGAGATGTTGGCTCAGTTTCAGTAACAGCTGAAGACAATGGTGTTTTATAACTGCTGTGATCAAAGTAATAACTATATTATCTGCAGACGCTACTTTGTTCTTGCCTATTGTTCTCGATTTATACATTTTTATTAATACATTATGATTTTACTTTCCCAGATTACAGTTCAGGAGACCATAGCCCATTTTTAGAAATCAAGTTAGACAGTTTTGTGGTGTGTTATGTCTCTTTTTTGCTTTTCTCAATACCATTTGTAAAGTCAGGTCAAAGGTTTGCCTCTATATTTCACCCATGTGTCTTCATGCCGCTCCTTTTTTCTTTGCTGTGATATAGTTTCATATCCAAGTGCTCTTTATTTTCCACCTCACCAAGTATGGCATGCTTTTGGTATCCATCTCAGACTTCTATCAATGGCATCTTTTCTCCAATTGTTTTCTCTCTCCCCATTTCTAAGAACAATAGTCTCTCTCCTTCTCTGACTGTCCTTTTGTAAATACATCTTTAATGGTTGCGCTTTTTTTTTTGGACGACCTTCGTCAACGTGTTTAGAAATAATTAGTTTAAGCTGTAATTCTGTTTGTATATGTAACATGTCAAATCACAAAATGTAAGTGGAGGCCTGCCATCTTCTTGTCTCCATTCAACTTAAAATGTGAAACCAAAAACTAATTTATACTCAATTCAGGCAATGTGACATATTTCAAGCCTTTGTTTTAATTTTGATACCGCCCATTTTCTAAACTGTTCTAATTCTACGATGTTGTATTTAGGTTGCATCTAAGCTGTGAGCCATAATTATTATTATCACTTTGTGTGTAAAGAGTAAGTTAAATTACAGAAGTTAATGGACTTTTTTATTTGCTGAAAATTGAGCCATAGAGAAATGAGTCCAATAAAATTGAAGGCGAGGCTGGAACCAGTTGGTTTTGGTAGATTGAATATTTGGCAGTTAACTTCCACATGGTGGAAATGTCTAAAAAAAAGTGACCAGAATGATTACAGTATAAGCGATAGAATCTAAATATTATCACCCAGTGAAAAAGTCCACTCAACTTTACTACATATAACTATGCTATGTGTAACAGCTTAGTAAGAGTACCAATAGTACCCATAGTAGATAAAAGCCTAATGGTTCTGTTGGCACCCCCTCTATGCCCCAGTGGGCACTCCTTTGTTAGGGTCGCCAATACTGATAGCTATTATTCTCCGGGAGTCGCTCTGGATACACACCCCGTCGTTAGCAGGTCACCCCATGTGCCCTACTTCTCGAGGCTAAAGGTACAAACTCTCTGTTTCTTTTGGGAACTTTGTTGCTGCAAGTAACAAGCAGGACACAGACTGGCAGTATTTGGAGTTTGTGGTTTGTTTCCAACACTAACAAGCTGTCATTTGCAGTCAAGGAGCTAGCAAGAGTGGTGCTCAAGGCTTTGCTGCACCAGGTAGTTTATTTTTGTCAAAGTATATATATATATATTTATTTATATTCTTGCTTTTCCGAGCTGCTTCTTTGATCTCCAGCCTTTGATGGTTTAAAACCCAGTTTGTGTATTTATTATAGTTTTTTTTTCTTCCCCTACAGCTTTACAGGGTTTAAAGTGGTTCTCACCCCCGCTCCTCGGAGCTTACGTCACTCACATTTCCTGTTCAAATCTTCCTCTAAATGGGCGTAGCCTGGAGGACTAAAGGGGGCGTGAACGAGACTGGGCCGTTTACATTGCTCTGGGCGGGGGGCTGCTGACGTCAGGTCCAACTTCTGTGCCAGTGTTGGCGCCAGATTCAAAATTCAAATGTAGTAATACAGGTCGCCAGCAGATGGCGCCTCACAGACGGTTTTAGGCAGAAAGTCTAACTTTCAACTAATTTGCACCAAAGTGACAAGATTATGACCAGGATATGTAGACAACACTATTGGACACTCATTTATACCGTTTATCAGCAAAAAAAAGTGGATTTGAGGGTGAGTTGTCCTTTAATAATTTTGATCTTCTCCTTTTCAACTGTATGCCTTCAATGGGACAGTCGTGAAATTACATCACCAGTCAATCAGCGGCTCACAGAGGCGATATGTAAAAAGACGCCTTTAGAAAGGAAGAAATCTAAGTGTAAACAGCCAACGCCTCTTCCTCTCTATTAGCTCCTGCTTCTGATTGGCTCTTTGTTTGCTATGAAGTTGCTATGTAAGTGTTTGGCTCTATATTCCCTCCCATGGAGTGTGGTGGAGGTAGCTCTCATCATCAAATTGCTATGGGTGACATCAGCAGTCCCAAAAAATAGGATTTATATGAATGAACTAAAATACATATAGGTATAATCTACTGTTCTGTGTTCACAGGTAAAGGGGATCTTATCGGCTCTGACTCTCTGACTAAAGAGCAAGTGATAAAGACCAACGCTAATGTGAAGGCCTTGACCTACTGTGACCTGCAGTACATCAGCCTGAAAGGTCTGAGGGAGGTGCTGCGGCTGTATCCAGAATATGCACAGAAGTTTATCAGTGAAATCCAACACGATCTCACCTACAACCTCAGAGAAGGCCACGGAGCAGACGTGAGTGCATTATGTAATGCAAAATACTGCGGTGCGTGAATGGACTTCATGTGGCTCTACTGTACATTTGAGGTTAAAAGCAGTAATGTTTCTGCTGGTATGGCACGATATAATGACTTTAATCTTTTTTTATTGTGGCTTTAGCATGGATTGAATACTGACTGAATTAAATGATTTAAATGTCTTGTAAAAGAATACTTCAAACACTGAAGTACTGAACATAATGGATAGTGAATGCGATGACGTTTTTTCTACTGGGTTTTCTAGTGTTCTCATAGCTCAAGTTTAACAGGAATTACCCAATGATAAAACATTATTTCAATCTGGAAAGACTCGAGACAAATATTGCATTTGAATATTTATTGACAAGATGCAGGGAATAAACACCATTAGACTTAGAGACTATTATATTTATTGTTAAGATTAGACCCCAGCAGGGATACTGCATGACGTCTGCAGAAGGAGTTTAATAGAGATTATGAGCTCGCGACCCCCTGGGGCCTAGAACCTGGTGGTGAAGAAGCTGAGTCAAAGACATGACATTATACTACTGAAAAGGCGGTGATGGGGAGGAGGTGGGTTGCTGCTCGAACAGCAGCTTCCGCTGGAGAGAACAGAGAGGCTGATGAGCACAGGTGCAGGAGAGTCGATGGAGGGGTTCAGTGTGGCAGCGTGACGTCTCTTTGGTCTTCTAGTTTGAATTTGCGCTAAAGCTTCATGATTGTTTTGAATACATATAACGTGATGGCAGATAATAATTACAGTAATTTTTTGGTCGATATGTAGGGCAAATTATTGATCATTTGTATTTACTACGAAATAAGAGCAGTGTGTAATCATGTGTGTTCTTATGTGCTCTTTTGCAGCTGCTAATTTGAGTTTGATGGGTGGTCGTCTTCAAACTTAAGTCAATACTGTTTTATTGTTTTCCATAATGCTGATAATATTTTGGTTTCACTCCCCTTATTTCTAGAGCACATTCCAGACAATGTGATTTGAAAAAACAAAAAGTCAGAAAGAAAGGACTACTAAAATTAACCACACAAATGTATATAATAAATATATGTTGAGAGGCGACAGTAGCTCAGTTGGTAGAGCATTGGCCTTTGAGCCTGAAGGTCGTGGGTTCGAGCCCACCTCAAGACCTACTTCACAACTCCCACTGATGACTGCTGTCGTTGTGTCCTTGGGCAAGACACTTAACCCCACTTTGCCTGAAGCCCCCACTGAAAGATCTCAGCTCCTGTGGACTCACCACCTGCAGGAGGATCAGTGAGGGGCTGGTGCTCTGTGGACTGGGTGCAGCTCTGACTGCCACCCCCCCGACCCAGAAATGGATTAAGGGGAAGAAAATGGATGGATGGATGGATGGATATGTTGAGAGAAAAAATTCTGCTGTATTGAAAGCATAGCAAACCTGGTATTTGGGGCCTAAAGGGATAAGACATGTCAAGATTATATACCAATACAAATATACAAAGAAATGCAATTGCTCTATGAAATTCAAAAAAACCATGATGTTTATCCGTGTATCACATCCTATTTACTGTGTAAATATATACTGTTGCTGCCAAAAGTGCAGCCTTGAAAATGCCCATTTGTAATTCAATTCAGTGCTATGATTCGGATCGTGCACCCTGAAGGCCCCCTCACCTCGACTAAGGTCACACAGAAAAAGGCTATTCAGGACCTCATTCACACTGCTTTTAAATATAGATTGTTTTGCATTTCATATTCCATAACACACGCTCGGGCCGTGCCTCTGCTGGTGTGGCACGAGACAGAACAAAAACATGAGGACCAGAATAGCTTAGTGCTGCTGTTTGAAGCTGTTCTGTTACTAAAAATAGGGCGGGGGGGGAAGCACGGGCTCTCCCTCACTGGCTGTCCCCTCACTGTTGCAGCTAAGATTGGATCCTGCTGGGTATAAATAACCCAGCCAGGAGGAGGGTGAGGAGGTAGAGTGCAGGAGGGAGGGGGCTGTCTCATTTTCCTCCCCTCAATCCCTCCTTCTCCACTGCAGTGCTGTGCTCCTCGGGGCCAGAGTACACTTACTGTAGCGAGAGTGGATTTGGGCATGTGTGTGTGCATATGGACAGTATGTACGCACACACTCGCTCACACACAGACAGAGAGAGACACACACACACACACACACACACACTGGATATAATGGTATCTAGAGGATGCTCCAGTCCAAATGCACAGCTGCAATATCTTTCCTCTTGGTGGAGGAAGTCCAGGCTGGTTATGCCTGCTCTGCGCTCCTGGGTTGTGTGTGGGCTTGCATATTTATGATCAACACAACTGGACAATAAAGTGCTCCTTCCCATGCTTAATGAGGCTGTTAAATCAAAACTGAAGCATGTTCACCTGTGTAGTAATTAACATTATAATGTAGTTAAAGTTTTATATGATCTCAGCTGCAGATTGGCAGAAAGCTTACATTGACAGACGCTGCATGTGACTGGAATGTAAAATTTCACCCCCACGTTTTAGCCAGATCAGATGCCCATTTTGATTTAAACAAAGCTGACAGACCTCAGGAAAACACTGTGTTTGTCCTGGTATAGCGTTGGCCTTTGAGCCAGAAGGTCGTGGGTTCAAGCCCCGCTCAAGACTTTCACCATCGACTCCCACTGACTACTGTCGTTGTGTCCTTGGCAAGACACTTAACCTCTGGGAACACCAGCCACAGTGGGGCGGCTGCGGCTGTAAAGTGCCAAACTGCCGTTGTGTCCTTAGGCAAGACACTTCACCCCCATTGCCTAGAATGAGTCTGGTGTGTGTGTGAATGGTTGGTGGTGGTCGGAGGGGCCGATGGCGCATACTGGTTGCCTCGCTTCTGTCAGTGTGCCCCAGGGCAGCTGTGGCTACAGTAGTAGTTTATCACCACCGTGTATGGAGTGAATGAATAATGACACATGTGAAGCGTCTTTGAGTATCCAAAAAAGCGCTATATAAAACCGATGCATTATTATTATTATAAATATTTTTGGTGCTTTCTGAATTTTGATGGTGTGTGTGTGTGTGTGCCAGCCATCTATAATAGTCTTACCAAACCATTGTATGCTGTAGGAAGGTTAGATCTTGTATAAATTGTTTGTATGGCTGCAGACTGAATGTTATCATCTAGAGCCTTGAGGTGACAAAAGCTTAGTTGACTGAGCTCAATAGATAACTATTTTCTAAAATTATACTCTATTCTCTGCAAATGGACCATTTATTTTTTTCTGCACTCTTTATCCCTGTGCACCATGTGTAATACTGTGAAGTCTCCTTTGAAATCTGCCTGTGCACCATACTTAAGATTCTGCAGTCAGCCTGTGGAGCATTCAAACTTACAGTCACACGTTCGCAGACACAGCCGATCTATCACGCCCCCGCATCGCACACCGCTCCTTGGGTTTTTTCTCAAGAGCGCTGGGCTAAGATTAGAAACAGGAGAGCTAAAAATACATTACACGAGATGGTGGAGTTTGAAGGAGGGACGGCAGGACTGCGGGAATGCTGAGCAGGCAGACGCTTGATTAAAGGGTTAGGGGGGGAGAACCATAGTAAATTGTCTGGAAAATAAATGATGAAAAACATTGGCGATGGTGTCCCTGTGTGATGAGATATGACTGACTGTTAATGCTGCATAAAACACAGCGGCTGGAGGATTTATTATGAGTGAATAATTACATGTCATAATGTAGTATAGTGAATACATTATATACATCCAGAGGGGTGCAATTTTTAGCAGCTTTATGTCACTTTAAAACTTGCATGATCAAGGTTAGATGGTTGTGTTGCATTTTGTTGTATGTATGTACCTCAGGGAGTAAAAGGCGATATTATTATATATCCATGGTAAAAAGGTGAAACATTTTCTATTAGAATAATGCCATTTTCAACTTAAATTACAAAGATGAATACAAGCTGTTAACTCAAGATAATGGGAAAAACACGACTACTTAACTACAACAACTTATGTACATCATATGTTGCTGCAGCAACAAAAATTTCACTATTAAAATGCATTTATTTCAATCTGAAAGTCCTTATGATTTAAATAAGGAGATCTTTTATTCAACCCAAAGTGGATATATTTCTTTGTGGCATCAAAGATGCATTACAGTGTTAATGAGGATCACAGGACACAAATAAAAAACTTAAGCTCTATACTTAAAGAAATTAGATTTTTTTTGTTTTTTGTTACTTAAAGTATATACAAAATTACTGTTGTTTTGTGTTCACTATTTCTGAGTATCTTATGCCATGTTGTTCTCCTTTCTGTATTCAATAAGCTAAATGGCCACTCTGATTTACCATGAGAGCAATACAATGCCTTTAAATGCTTTGTTTACAACTAAAGAAGTGGATTTAAAAATCTAGATTGTCTTAGTTCGCCCTCTGCTGGTGAGAATAGGCCCCTGTCTTTTATAACTTATATATTATTTATATATTATTTCACTAAATTTTCAAGTCCATTCAAATCAATTAATTTGTGCTCTCCCAAAATCCCAACAGCAGAAGAAAATCAAAACATTCAAACATTGGTCCATAAAACTCACAACAATAATTAAGCAGATGGATATTTTTTTTCATATTTCTTTTCATAAATGTTTTATTGTTTTTTGAGACCAAACAAACATAAACATACAAACTTTCACACATACGTCACACATACAGTCTGTACAAACATGATGGATGAACTCTTAAATAGTGGTTTGTGTTAGATACATCTGATTTTTCCCCCTCTGTTATGTGCCTGCAGGGAGATTGGGAAAGCAATGGTGGTCTTGTGAAGAAGCTGCCGTCCATAAAAGAGGATGAGGAGGGTGATGAAGAGCAGAACCTCGTGTCTCGGGCCCCTCGCTCTCCGCTGCGTCTGAACAGGGGCCTGAACTCCCCCCTCCGCTCGCCCCTGCTCCCCCCTCGATCTTTCCGCTCCCCCTCAGAGCACTTGCGGCCCAGCACTTTGCAGATCCCAGTGGTCAGCTTCAGCAGCGCACCGCCAGAACTCAGCCCTAGGTAAATAATAATAATAATAATAATAATAATAATAATAATAATAATAATAATAATAATAATAATAATAATAATAATAATAATAATAATAATAATGATAATAATAAAGATTTATTTGTAGAGCCTGTTAAAAAAAACAATGTTTACAAAGCGCTGTACAGTCCTTATAAAGCAGTAAAAACACTTAACAACGGTCAGAATAAAGCAGACAGATAACACGAATGACAGAACATTAAAAGCTGCTCAATAAAAGTGGGTTTTAAGAAGTGATTTAAAAGAGAATTCTGATGGTGCTAGCCTTATATCCTCGGGCAGGTCCTTCAAAAGCCGAGGAGCCCGGACAGAGAATGCTCAGTCACCCTTTGTCCGGGCCCTCGACCTTGGAACAGTCAACAGGGACCTGCCAGAGGGTCCAAGGCTGCGGAGAACTCGTAGGGGGTTAAAAGATCAGAAATGTAGTTTGGAGCTACATCAGGTAAAGGACTAGGTTTAACACAATCACATTTTAGATAGACCACTAAAGCTAGGTTGCATTTATTTTCCATGTTGCATGTTGTTTGTCCCTTCTTGTATAAGTAAAATGAATGAACAAATCAGACCACAACATTCTGTCTTCATAGTGCTGCATACTTGTAAGAAAGACACATGTGAGTCGCTAATTGGCTCAGCTAGGGTGCCATCCATCCATTCATTTTCTACCCCTTTGTCCATTTCTGGGTCAGGGGGTGGCCACCCAGTACACATAGCACCAGCTCCTTAGGGTGGTCCTCTCTTTTTCACATGTATGTCTGAAAAAGCTGATCTAAAGATGTGACAGAGCCCAAAATACATGTCAAAACTAGTGATTTATTTTTTGTGGTTTGAAAGTTAGCTTTACTTCTGTGGATCATAGAATAAGCATTTTTGACAAACAATAAAAAAATAAAAAAAAGTAATACTGTGTAAAAATGAATCCCTCTGGCTACTCATTTACACATTCAAAATGAACAAAGAAAAAGGGCTGCACTCACATTTCTCCTCATATAATCTATTCTTATCTATTCTATATCTCGGGTAAATTAAACAATCACTGTGTACATTACAGGTTTCGGCCCCTGTATGCTTTGTGGTTGTGTAATTATTATGATGAATGTCACATCTGCTGTTGGAGCTCAACTTGGCAATAAATTTGATACAAAACTGTGGAAAAACCTGCAATAACATGCAACTAGGCTTGTTTTACGTTGCGTATGAGTATCTGGTTGCACTATGTACGCGCTTGTTTATCTCCAAAACAATGCCTGAGTGCAGTAGTTTCCGTGAGGTCAGTATCCTCTCTCTGCTGCAGCTGCCCGTGCTGTTGGTCGGTTTCCATGGCAACTGGATTACACTGGATTACAGTCTTTAGGGACGTATAGGTTTCTCGCCACGGGAAGTCTTCGTCAGTGACAGGAAAACACAAGCAGCCCACCGACAAACGTCTGTAAATTATTGAGGGAGATGAAAATAGGGGCGTTAAAGAATGTTCTGTATTCTGGAGACAAACTGTAATTACTGCCTCAGCTCCTTTTATCATCCTCCAATATGATTTGCATTCCTCTCCAGTCACTGTTTTAAATCTTGCTTTCTGCACAGATTCGTGGACGGCATTGAAACCGAGAGCATTTGCAACTTGTCTCAGAGGTTTGAGTTCAGTCCCAGTCTGTCCCCCGCTGCCTCCTCTCCATATCCAGGTATAACAAGACACTTTTACTAGGATTTTTACATTGTCTTTACAAGGAACAGTTTGATATCACAGAGTAATTAGGAGTCTGGGATGAATGTCCAGGATCAGTGACGCTCCCACTACAGCAGGAGTCTCCAACCTTTTTCACCCAAAGAGATACTTTCCGGGGACAATAAAGACATTGAGCTACTCCTTTTAGCTAACCCTGGGAAATTTTTTTTTGTGATATATTGGTGTGAATAAGCCTGATTTTGGATTTATCATTGCATATTTGTAAAGTAGTATTTGTATAAAGTGCATATACAATAATGATAATGAATAATACTATCTGAAAGTGTATTGTTGAATTTGTCCATTTCTAAATCCTTTGGCGAGCTACCTGGAAGAGGGTGGCGAGCTACTGGTTGGAGACCCCAGAGCAAGTAGTGGGAGAGAGGTGTATGGTCGGAGAGTGTTTGGGCCTATGTCTTGTCTGAGAGTGTGTGTGGGTGTGTGTTGTTTTGTATTATACCACATGATATCGTGTTGTGATGCATCTCTGCTATGTTGTTTTTGTGTTGTCTTTCTTTGTATTGAATGGCTGATGGTTGTTCAAAATTGTATACGCATTTGCTTAATCCAACCCCTTTTGTGTGTTTTATTCAGTTTAATTGATCTATAAAATTGTGTTGTACAGTTTTTTTTAAATGAAAATGTTTTATTGATTAGCTTGATTTCAAAGTTGTTTTATAGCCAAACCATTAGGGGTCTTTGGGTTAAGGTTATTATGGTGATATCAGACAGCAGTAATATTAGACTTGTGTTTTTAGGGGTGAGGGAACATGCTGACATCAAGCAGAGTGTCTCCAAACTCACAGAGGAAGTAAGTATTTAAGTCATAATAATAACAATGACATTTTGTTTTTGGCTGGTTTGTCTTGCCATCGCTCTAAAATGAAAATCAAGAAATATCGGGCCTGGTTTTTACTTACTGGAACCTTAGCTTGAGCAAATATGATGATTAGAATATAATTGTGTCCTGAAAATTAAAAAAAATAATCTATTCATTTGAATGGTAATTATGTGAATCAGATTAGAAACTCAAGTCCCCTCTTAACCAATTCACATTATGTCTTTTCCAGGTTTTATTGAACAACCTACTGTATATTACATGTGGGTTGCTGTAACGAGCCATATTGATCCAACATCACTAAATAACACAGTTTACACACTTTCAGCTCATAACTGCTGAATCCATATGTCTTTTGTTCTCTTTTTCTGAGCGGAATTTCACTGAAATCGTCAGATAATGTGTTTTTATTTTGTAAAAATTGCTGTGATTATGACTTGATTCACTTTTAAATGCCTACTCAATACAGTTGTGTAGGTTTTTTCTAAGCTCCAAATGCAGGACAGTGGAAAATGAACCGTTCACAGACTAAAATATATTGTGTCTTATGTAAGGTTTATCACTCAAACAGAGCTGTAGTGCTGCAGAATGAAATCAAAATGTGTAATATACAAACCAAATTAATCATTTTGAGACTATAAAGCATTTTGTCTTTGATTGTAATTTAATAATTTAAATAGTCAATTACATTCAACACGTACTGCATAAACTGTGCAAGTGAAAAAAGTGTATTTTAATTTTTGATTTATACATTTATCCTCACTTTTGACACTATTCCTGTGCCTCATCTCCCTTCAGATGAGCAGCCTCTCCAAACAAGTGTCCCAGCTCAGCCACGAGTTGCAGGAGATGACCCGCCTCCTCAAGCCCCTCCTCCAGGCTTCCCCTTTGTCACATCTGACTCCGCCCCCCAGCAGTGCGAGCCAGCAGCCCCCCAGCGCCTGCCTGGTGATCCCTACCGCCCTCACCCCGCTCCTCACACCTTGCTCCCCACAGAGACTGGACTCTAAATCCATATTGGACAGCACGGTCACGGAGGAGGTGGATCTACTGGGATGCCTTCTCCCCACAACCCACTCCCCTCAGAAGCCCAACTCGTTAACATCATCGCCGCTTCTGCCAAAATCTAATTTAAACGTAAACGTGGACAATGAACTCATCCAGGTTTCATCTAAGAACGGGATAGTTGTCGTGCCCGCCCACCAGGACCCTCCCCACACACCTTCCCCCTCGTTATCCTTCTCTATGTCACTGTCTTCATCGCCGTCGCTGTCCCCCTGCCAGGGCCCCCACCTGTCCCGCCCGGGCAGTTGTACAACCAGAAACCATTTGCAACAACCCCAGCATCCGCCGCTCTCCACGCACTGCTCCGCCCCCCCCTCCCTCACCTCGTCACCAGGGGACCGCCGGTTCAAGCAGCCCGCACCTCTCATATCGCACCCTTCTCCCCCCTGCCCTTCCACGCTGTCTCTGCCACATTCGCTGGACTCCCGGACGCGGCACGGAGACACCACACAGACTGCGTTTTGGTGTAATTCCCGGCAGCGTCAGGCAGATGGGAGGTCGGCGTGTGGACCACTGGAGATGGAGATGCAGGAGAGGGGGCTAACAGACACTAGGCAGTCCTCCACAGAGCACATAAGCTTCATCGATGAGGAATAGTGCTCTTGTCCCGAGTGGCAGAGACGCGTAGCGGGGGAAAAGATGAGCAAAAATGAAGAATGAATTTTTTTGCAAGGCGTGTCCATAAAGTAATTTCAATATTTCAAAACAATATTTTGGGCATTTCTTCTATTGAGTACGACAAAGTGTGAGTGCTGCAGTAACATTCCTCTTCACAAATAAGTACGAAATTCAATAATAATATATATACAGTATGCACGGCAATAGTTTTAAATAACGTGTGCAAATCTGACTTTTCTTCTAAACACACAAACCAAATTTACTCAAGGCATGATCATATTCAGGGGTGTCAAAACATTTTGCATCAAGGGCCAGGTGGAAACAGATAAAAGGTAACATTTGAATTTCAAACTTATTTCTACTGCGCCACAAGTAAAATTGAGTTACCAGATTTGTATTTGTGCTTAACAATATGAGAGGACACATTAAAAAGTGTATTTAGTTTATGTTTCAAAGAGCATAAAAGCAGTACTTATCACTGATTGTAGCAACACGAGCAGGTTGGAATGCTCAAAGGGCTGCAATTTTCCCAGGGGCCATTGATTGGTCTGTTTTTTTTTCTTTTCCTGATCGGATCATGTTTGTGATCGACTGAAAAAACGTTAATACCTATTCAGCTTTCTGGACATGCCTTGCGTTGCAGTATGGCAAAAATATCACACATTTTTACAAAAAGTCATAGATCCGGTTTGTGCAAAAAGACACCGAGCTGAATGAGCCTGCGCTGACCAGGACTCAACACAACACCACAATCTGACACCATCACCTCAGCTTCACAAATATTACAGCTGTCAAGGCCTCTCTTCTACAAGGGCAAGTATTAATGCACATATCTCAAGTACAATATTCCAAGCAACAGCGCTGGGACTGGAATGTAACTTTTTATCAAGGTCACTCACTTAGTTTTGCTTCATTAGTGGAGTTATAAGAGCACTGATCAGAACAACCCATAATGGTCACTAGCAAGTGAAAGGGCTTGGCGATGTGTCATGAAAGGATTACTCTTTTATAATCAGCAGAGAAATTGGTAGAAGGGGAAAGAGTGGATCAGAGCATAGGCTTTTCATCTATTGGTTAGTTTGTAAATCTAAAAAAACGAAATACATTAAGGTAGGTTTAACTCATGATTATGAACCGATATCTTTGTGCTAATTTGCATTCATGTACATGGATGATTTTCCTCTCATCCACGTCTAACGAGACCTCCACTAACACTTCACAGCAAATCCTTTCATACGAGCAAGAAAAGGGTTATGCAGAACAAGCCATTCATTTGATTGAATTAGTTCAAATAAAGACAATCACTAACATGTTTGCAAATGAGCATTCTCTAATAAATACAATGTCAGTGCAAACTATTTTATCACTTTGGAGGTCATAATCTTAAGCAGTGTTCAAAGAAGTGGAATTATTATTGGAAAATGGGTGAACATTTTACCATCTTAATATCACATTCATATCCACGTCGGTCGAAATGTAACAAAACTTGGTCAATTTTACTGAAAGGTTAAAAAGCCACGTCTAGCAGGCCAAAGTTTTAGACAAAACATAATCATCACGACAGATTTCAACCAGCCAACCGAGCACACAAAAACTCCCACTTCACTTGAGCTTTAGCCATCCAACCATTCGTGCCTTCGCCATATTAACTCCCTGACTCCCCATGATCTACAGGTATATTTGGAACTAATCTACTGAAAAGCCATTGACAACAAGCACCTTTGACTAAACTAATATTGTGCTTTATATTTTTAAGCAAGATTACTTTCATATTTCATCAACCCAAAAACCGGATTGAAAGTGTAGCCCTCCCAATTCAAATGTAGCACATACGCATCACTCTATTGTCATCTATGATCCCACTGCCAACCACCACACCTCTATGGAAGGCTATGTACTTTCGTATACGGACATTATTTTGCTGGTGTGACGCTGCATAAAGCAACAGACCACCAGATGCTTGTAGGATTTGTCAGATTTCTGGTTTCTATTTTCTCTAACAACAAATACCAAATTCTATTGCAGTTCTGAGCAGTGGTAATCCATATGGGCAATTCAAGGTGGGAGGGTTTGGGACACAAAAGGGTTTAAAATTTTAATGCATGTCACTGAAATGTTGCATGAGGAACGTGCCTGTAACAATGTCAGGGGTTGGAGGAAAATGGAGAGGAACTTCCCTGTTTCTAAGCTTGAGATGTATTTTATTACAACAGACTGATGTTACATGAAACTTTACCAGGATTACCGACTGTGCAAAAATAAAGTGTTGTTTTATAAGATTTCTGACTCATGTTGAATGAAGAGTGACCATAAATAAGACTCAACACAAACACCATCCATTCTGCATATATTTCCCGTAACATTCATTTGATCTGAATCAAATAAATGGTTTGAAATGTTGCTATAACAGCTAAAGAAAACAGAAAAAAAAGCTTTAAGAAAGATAAATTCCAATGTTTGTTTATTCCATTGCTCTTGTGAAATTACCTGATTTGATATGACACTTAATTTAAAAGAAAAAAAAACAACCCAGAAAGCTTGGCCATCTTCACTTTAGAAGAGATTAAACATAAGGTGCACAAAAGTAGATTAGAAAGATTGGCTGTAAAGGTTTCCTCGTATACTTATACATACTGATGGATATTAGTGATTGGGAAAGAAAAGTGATGGTAGCATAGTGAGGGTGAAGTGGTGCCAAAAGCACATCAGCGGAAAGGAAAACTTAAGGATGACTGTGTGTATTATCACTGAAGTTCAAAGCCAAGTATTAATTGCATTAGAGAACAGGTAACTCCACCTTCAGCGTCAAGATTTAACAGAATAAATGACAAACAAAAAAGGGCCGGGGAAAAAATAACTTCCCAAAAATATATATTTATATTTATATACATATGTATATTTACGAGGTATGTATCCACAAAGAAAAAAACACCCACATTTTTCAAAATAGGCAGTTTGTCTGTACAGATGTCCTTAGTTATGACATCAGGAAAATATTTATCTTCGTTAACAAAATTAAGTTAATAAGTGGGGGGGAGTGAAAGTTCCATCATTACGCCCAGCTCTAACTTCAAACTTTACAGTGTAAAGGTTGTGAGTCCTGAGTCTCCTCTGAGGGTAAAGTGCCCAGGCCAAAGCCACACCTCAGGCACCAGCGACAGACTGCTGCTCTTGACACAAAACTTCAAGTCTCAATAGAGTTCAGTTCTTCCAGAAGCAAAACAAAACATCCATGTCGGTGATTTCAGTCACATGGAGGTTGGAGGTGGGTGGAGGTGGTAGTGTCCAGTTTGAGTGAGTTAAAGGGAGGCCAGCCACACTTAAATATGGTTTATATTGTGCAACAAACCAAGCTCCAAATTAAACTACAAACTAAAGCAACCAATGGTGTCCCTCAAAGCATCTTTAGCCTGGTAGTTGTTACTCCATACTAGTCATGCCAGATACTGCTGCATAGCAGTCTTTGCTCTGTAAAAGAAGATGCAATAATAATATTGTGTTAAAGGCCAGTACTTATATGAATGAGACCAAATGGAGTAGAATACTTTACCTCTCACAGACGTTAGGATCAGAGGCCTGTGTAAGTTTGTGCAGGATATCCACAAAGCCCATTTCTCTGAGCTTGTCCTGGCGCTCCTGGGAACCTGTATGGGTCAAAATATGTAAACATTAAGTAGAACGGCATTTACATAGACTAGAGCTGGGCGATATAACGGCGTTACTGCTAACGGTACTGAAACTGATACACTAATACTATTGCAGTATATGTGCACAGGTGATGTTGACCTTTGAGCACCGCAAGAAACAACAATTATCACACCTCCTCTGCCACAAGGTTCATCCTCGCAATTCTTAAAATTGTGAATAACTTTGTGGGTGTCCCGGTAACCAATGTAGGAGGGAACCTCCGCAAAACGTGACGATGGTAACAGCTTACATAGAGTGTCACTGTGGATTGAACACCGTGAGCCTTTGCTCGTCGTTTCAAATAAAATCTCTTACGACACACTTAGATGTGAACCCCCGCGGACAAGTGTGCATGAGCCATTTAGACCGACTCTGCTCAGATTGATGATGACAGGGCTGTGGCCAGATTAAAAATGTATTGGGTTATCTTTTACATACAAAGTTCTGATTGGGTGAGTGAGTGAGTGAGTGCGATCCCCTTTTTTCACTTGTCTGAAAAAGCTGTTCTAAAGATTAGTCCAAAATACATGGATGTGAAAAGTACTGATAGACGTTTTGTGAGCAATAAGACATTTTTAATTCAGTTTAAAGATTGTTCCCATTGCCGTTTGAATTAATTTTATGGAGGCAATTAAATGATTTATTTAATCCCTTTCTGGTATAGCAATCAGAACAACCACCCAATCTGTATAGCCCCTCAGTGATCCTCCTGCAGGCAGCGAGTCCACAGGAGAACGGCTGCTCCATCAATGACACAATTCGCCCTTTCAGCAGGAGCTTCAGGCAAAAGTGTTTTGACACATCAGAAAACGTCAGTCGAAGACGACGGAGTAGGTCTCACTAGGGGAATCAAACCCACGACCATCAAGCCCCAAAGACCCATGCTCTACCAACAGCCACAGTTTCCAAAGAACCTTTATACTGCACAATTACAGTGCCTTACGAAAGTATTCGCCTTGCGAAAGTATGTTGAAAGGTATTGAACCTTTCAACATTTCAGGGTTCAAATAAAGATATAAAAATTAAAATTTTGTCAAGAATCAACAACAAATGGGACACAATCGTGAAGTGGAACGAAATTTATTGGATAATTTAAACTTTAACAGATAAAAAACTGAACAGTGGGGCGTGCAATATTATTCGGCCCTCTTGCGCTAATACTTTGTAGCGCCACCTTTTGCTGCAATTACAGCTGCAAGTCGCTTGGGGTATGTATCAGTTTTGCACATTGAGAGACTGGAATTCTTGCCCATTCTTCCTTCCAAAACAGCTCGAGCTCAGTGAGGTTGGATGGAGAGCGTTTGTGAACAGCCGTCTTCAGCTCTTTCCACAGATTCTCAATTGGATTCAGGTCTGGACTTTGACTTGGCCATTCTAACACCTGGATACGTCTATTTGTGAACCATTCCATTGTAGATTTGGCTTTATGTTTTGGATCATTGTCCTGTTGGAAGATAAATCTCCGTCCCAGTCTCAGGTCTTTTGCAGACTCCAACAGGTTTTCTTTCAGAATGGTCCTGTATTTGGCTCCATCCATCTTCCCATCAATTTTAGCCATCTTCCCTGTCCCTGCTGAAGAAAAGCAGGCCCAAACCATGATGCTGCCACCACCATGTTTGACAGTGGGGATGGTGTGTTCAGGGTGATGAGCTGTGTTGCTTTTACGCCAAACATATCGTTTTGCATTGCGGCCAAAAAGTTCGATTTTGGTTTAATCTGACCAGAGCACCTTCTTCCACATGTTTGTGGTGTGTCTCCCAGGTGGCTTGTGGCAAACTTTAAAACGAGACTTTTTATGGATATCTTTGAGAAATGGCTTTCTTCTTGCCATTCTTCCATAAAGGCCAGATTTGTGCAGTGCACGACTGATTGTTGGCCTATGGACAGACTCTCCCACCTCAGCTGTAGTTATCTGCAGTTCATCCAGAGTGATCATGGGCCTCTTGGCTGCATCTCTGATCAGTCTTCTCCTTGTTTGAGATGAAAGTTTGGAGGGACGGCCAGGTCTTGGTAGATTTTCAGTGGTCTGATACTCCTTCCATTTCAATATAATTGCTTGCACAGTGCTCCTTGAGATGTTTAAAGCTTGGGAAATCTTTCTGTATCCAAATCTGGCTTTAAACTTCTCCACAATAGTATCTCGGACCTGCCCGGTGTGTTCCTTTGTCTTCATGGTTCTCTCTGCGCTTTAAACAGAACCCTGAGACTATCAAAGAGCAGGTGCATTTATACGGAGACTTGATTACACACAGGTGCATTCTATTTATCATCATCAGTCATTTAGGACAACATTGGATCATTCAAAGATCCTCACTGAACTTCTGGACTGAGTTTGCTGCACTGAAAGTAAAAGGGCCGAATAATATTGCAAAAAAGTTTAAATTATCCAATAAATTTCGTTCCACTTCACGATTGTGTCCCATTTGTTGTTGATTCCTGACAAAAAATTAAAATGTTATATCTTTATGTTTGAAGCCTGAAATGTGGCGAAATATTGAATACTTTTGCAAGGCACTGTATATTGTTATCGTAATATTTACTTCTCATATTGTGATATATTGTGGCAATTGCCCAGCGCTAACAGACCATTTACAACGTGTAAATGTGCTTACCATCTTCTTCATTCCAAATTAAATTGGAAACACAAAAAGTGGCAGCAAGCTGCAGCTTCACATTTGAATGACCCTGAAATGTAGTTGCAAACATATTTTACATATAATGAACACTTTAATGCATGGTTTGAAGTAATTCTTTACTGTACCATGTAGTATTTGACTTTCTGCAGCATGTCATCATTGGTCATGATTAGTTCCTTGGCCGTGTTACCATCAGCAATGTTAGCTAGAATACAGATTGTCTGGGACAAAGGAAAGGTATTTGATTCCTTTTTCTAAGTTTTCCAACCTGCGATATTCAAATTAATACAATGCATACCTGCTCTTTGACCTCAATGCTTTGCTCGGACTCCAGTATCAGGGTCACTGCCTGCATAATCTGCATTCCATGGGAACTCATGATCTGGTCTATATGCTAAGAAAATACAAATAAAATGGAGAATTAACATTAGCGTGTGTGTGCGTGTGCGTGTGTGTGCGTGTGCGCGTAGCTCTTACAGGACGTGTTGACAACAGGTTTCGTAACAGACCAAGTGTCTTCATTAATACATTGGTGTCAGGATCAGACAGAAGACGGAACAACTGTTCTGTTCCGAGACAACGAACAATCTCCACTTTAACTTTCTGATCTGCCTGGAACGCCATGTTCTGAAAACCAAAAGAACCATTAAATTCTGAACAATATAAAATGTTCAGGTCCTGGTTGGAAGAGAAATAGCGTTCAGGTAAACTGAAACCTACTTTTAAGCTGGGGTGCGTAACTTTCAAACCACAATAAAATGTATTTTTATGTTCCTCACTCTATTTTTCTTCCTCCCACTCCTTTTCGGGTTTGAATTATGTCAACAATTTAACATGTAACTGTAAATGGATGATTTGAGGTACATGAACTCGAAATAAATAAAACACTTAACTTAACTCAACTCTCTGAAAGAGATCGTTTGTTACGATCATTGGTTTTCACTAAAAACCATCAGTGTTTACTAATAACAACTACAGAATGTTGTGGTTAATACAAGACACTTTCTGTTGGGACAAACAACATATTTATGAAACAAAAATGTGTTTTCCCAGCTTTATGCAAGATATAAGGGGAATGTAACTCTTACCATCAGCGCCCAGATCCCATTGACTCTCAGTGCAGGGCTGTCGCTCTGAGTCAAACTGCATAGTAATTCTATAACCCCGGATTCCAGGATGGGCTAAAGAAACAGGCAACCCAGATTACAACAACAGTAAGAAGAACTTTATTGAGGTGGTATATTATTCGCAGGATGTATACCTCTTTGCTGGGGGAGAACTCCAGAAGTAGATTGCATAGTGTCGATGAGGCCATAACAAGAACTTCATCCGGAGCATTTTGTAATAACTAATGACAAACAATGGATACACAATGAGTGAAAAAAAAAAAATCCTCCATTAAAACATGTAATGTTTTATGATGATGATTATTGACCTTCATAAGAGGTTTCCACACAGCATGATCATGGAAACTAGTTCTTAGCTGCTGCACTGAACGCGACAAACTGTGAAGACACCTAATGAAGAATGTTGAGAGAACGTTGTGAATTAGGATAAGCACTTGACAAATTCAGACTGTTGAGGTCAGTGATATTTACCTAACAGCAGCGAGGCGAACCTTGACACTAGACTCTGAGAGGCCACTGACGATTCTGTCCATCATATTCTCTGTCTCTGTTATCTGTGGCGGAAATGTACAATAAGCATAAACTATAATTGCAATTCAATACATCTGAATTAGAGAGGACAAGTAGTTATGACCTTTTTACGAATATCTTCATCATTGGAGCCTAATGAGGCATAAAGTTTAAAAGCAGCTTGTCTGAGCTCATGCGCATGTTTTAGATCATAGTCAAGCTGGAAAAAAACGAAAATAGTATGCATTACTTACGGTAGGAGTAATACACAACATATTTATTTTTCACTCATCAGGAAAACAAACATGACACCAGACCTTACCCGTTTGATGTCTGTAATAGCAGAGACTGAGCTGGGGTATTTGAAGTAGTCGGCTAACATTGTGACCAGGTGGTCTGTTGTGCTAGCAATCCTTTGCAGCTCCACATCAGGTTCCATCAGATAAGCAAGTGTCTCTGCCCCCTCTACCCTCTCCTCCAACAGGTGTTCCTTACTGCACATTCGAACCAGGCATGGCAATGTCTGAAAATCAAATTGTTTTATAAAGCATATGAAGTGATCTTTGGATTCTTTTAACTGTAGACTCTTAACCTTTAATATTATGCAGCTGTCATCAGTCCGGATAGCACCAGCTCGACACATGTATGTTAAACTGAAAACAAATGACCAATAAATTAGGGGGAAAAGCGATGACAACAGGATATAATACAATACTCACCACTTTGCTGATGTTAGCTGCATTTCAATGGGACGATCCCTTTGCATCATTTTAACAAATACCTGAGAAAGAACCTCACCGTCCACCAGCACTGTACAAAACATTAATAATATAATACAGCCAAATGCAATCAAGCTCAACAATTGGAGAAAACTTACCATTCACTAGTGTCAAGGAGACCTGAGTGTTCTCATAAGCTAGGACTGAGAAACACTTTAATGCCTGCATCCGAATCTGAAAGAGGTGGAAGTGTTATTAATTAATCAACAAAATCACACACAATATTTGATGTTGGAGTTACCTTATATGAAGGGGATATTAGTAACGGGGCAATGTTTTGGATAGCACCATGATTAAAAAGAACCGTTTGGTGCTCTGGAGTCTGAAAATGAAAAAGGATGACTTACTATCAGAAGAAGGAACCCACATAAAAGACTACTCTGTGGGTACGGATGAAAGGATGCACATGTTTACCTTACAACAGTGGGAGAAAATTTGGGTGATATACTCCTGTGTTCTCTCTGAACGACTAAGTAAGGACATTAAATGAGGAATCACAGTAGGGTCCTAGGGAAACAGTAATGTAAAGTGACAGATTAGATACAGTAATGAAAGTAATGCAGTATTTTTTCAAGCAGTGTAATAATATTGCTATTGATTTAAAAGCATACTGTATAAAGCAGCTGCACAGGTGTAACCGGACTTATGAAAACCGTTCTAAGACATCGAAGACAGGCTTCAATGAAAATAAGGTCAGGACACAACAGGCCTAGAGATGAATCACACAAAAAAACATTTCAATATGCTATATATCATACATAAATATAGGTCATCGTATATCATATAAACGGTCACCTTGAAGAAGAGCAGGGATAATATGACAGTCCACTAGAGACTTGATGTTGTTTTCTGTACCCATGGCTAGGCTGCCTAAGACTATAGCACATTCTGTTCGCAGCTCCAGACTAGACGAGCTCTGCTGTAGTAGGTAAAGTAATCTTTCAAAAGAAAAAAACAACACATATTAAGCAAAATACCACTTTATGTTACAGTATAGACTAGCAGTCTTACAGTTTCCAGTCTGTCACTTGACAGGCTTATGCATAAGGTCAGAACACGACATTAAATACTTGCAGCACAGTCAATGGCATACCTTGGTACAGCTCCAAGGACAATTAGATTTGCTTTTTGCTTGTTGTTTCCAATGACAGCATTTTTCATGTCACTGCAAAACAAAAGGATTAAGTCAGTGTTTTTATACCAGGACCAACAAGCCATATGTTTTACATTAAGTTCATTAAATGCCATTTTTTCTTTGGAGTATGTAACACTCAGGAGCATGCAAATTATAAAGTTATTAACCACATTTTTTGACACCACATGAAACTTCCTTTGAATAATTGTACAAAAGATCAGTTCACATGACATCATATACTTGTTTTTTTTTTTTTCTAGCCAAGTTGTTCCTATGCCCTACAAGCGTCCCACATGATATCAAATAGCAGGAGAGAAGGCAGTGGAAAAATACAGCAATAGCAGGCACTCAAGTAGTTAGCCAGCACTATTGAAGAGGTCACTGTAATACTATAGACGTTACCAAAGTCAGAAGCTTTTGGTGAACGTTTTCAAAATGTTCTCTTTTCTAGACTGCAAAGTAGATTTATGTTATAAACAATATGTACATACATTTGTAAGCTGCTCCTGATAGGGCAGGAGCGTTAAATTACTTACATGACACCTTGCAGCACTTTCTCTGGATCTGGATCGAACAGACGATCAACATAATGCCGGCTGGTGGCAGTAACTTCCTGCATGGAGAAGCAAACTACAATTATGCCCATTGGAAAATACTGGTCCTTATATATATCTTGGATGCATTTAATAAAACATGCATTTTTACTTGATGTAGTACTCAGTAATATTAATAGAAAAGCTTATAACCATGTGACTGACAATAAACATTCCATACAATGACAAACCAGAACGTTCCCCAGGCTGTAACTCAGGTGACAGTACTGCTGACATGATGTAAGGCAGAAAGCCCAATTAAATGGGCGGCTTGAAAATAATAATTGTAATATGAACCTTAGAGGGGTTTATTTTAACATGATGTGCCTACTACTGGCTGGAGATAAACATTATATGGCTAACGTCCAATTGTTTTCTTGTCATTAGAAGCAACTTCAAATGCAAACGACAATGTTGACAAGTACAACTAAAACATACTCGAGGTGGGAATTGTATGGCTCTTAAGGTAACATAGGGATCAATTAGCATTTAGCTGCTAACTCGTTCACTCTGAAACTGACAGCTACGTTTGTTTGGATTCACTTCCTGCCAACACCACTGCTCATGACAACACAACGCGCTCAAGTCTTTTTATGAACCTGAAGTTGTGTCCGCCCGCCCGGCACAGCTCAGAGTCTAAACCGCTCCCACCAAAAGCACCAGAGGTAACCTACACCGCTGCATGCTTTCAACTTAGCACACCGGCTAACTCAGCCAAAAAAACAATGTCCACTCCATAACAGATATGCATTTGTTAGAGCTAAGAAACCACAAAGGATAGCGTATCTACCGGGTTGTATACGTATCTTTATTTATATTAAAACTATTACAGTGAGACTCACAGATAGCACACTGATGCGGAGAGGGGCCTCCAACAAGCACGCCATCTCTCTTCCCCGAACAGCGCCCCAATCGGCGCAGCACTTGGCCGACACTCCGCCCCCAAAGAGCTTGGAAGTGGCTTTTTAAACGCAAAAGCTACCAAAACTGAACACGGACAGCCAGCTGGTGTTTTGAAAAAATATGACCTGATCCCATGCTGTCTTAGGTTTGATGAAAAGCAACGCTTCAATTATAATAAAACGCGCTAACTTGCGTGATAGCTGATTTAAAGCGCTCGACATTTTTTTTAACTATTTAGATTCAATGCACAACCGGTGAAATCTTAAACCATCATATAATACATCTTAAATACCACAAAGTTTTGTCTAAAGTATTATTAACTACAATTTCATATATCTTATATTAGATGAGTTACAAAATCATTTATTTAATTTGTAATTGTGTTGAATCTGCTACGTCTGGTGCAAGATTATTTTCGGAAGTTGACGTCCCTTTGCACATGCGCACTACATGAAGCTGTTAGGTGGGAAAATTAATTCTTTCGTTTACACAAATTCCTGCCACAAAATGTGTGTTTTGTAGACTCTTTGCACTCTTACATCTGCTGGATTTATCCCGCAGTTTCTGTTTTCTGTAAGTATACATCTCTTGCGTAACTTATGTGAGTCGACATTTTCAGAGTGTTAGCTAAACGCTAACAGCTAGCTCAAATGTATGGCATTGGGTTCAAACAAATATATTATATAGACAATTCAAAATGTATAATATAGTTTTTGAATCTGTGCCACATAATCCTAATTATAAAACGATTAATTAATGGAATCTTAACTATGAAACTGTTTAATACTGAATGTTAGCTAATTGTTAATTCTTTAGTAAATCATCGTGCAGAATGAAGATTGCAGTAGAGGGCTGCTGTCATGGCGAACTGGACAAGATATACGAGACTATTTCTTATTTGGAACAAAAAGAAGGAATAAAGGTAGATTTACTGCTATGTTGTGGAGACTTCCAAGCAGTGCGAAATGAAGGGGATATGAAGTGTATGGCAGTACCAGCTAAGTACAGACAAATGCAAACTTTCTACAAGTTAGTTGATTCTTTACATTAAACATGTAATTGTTATTTCTCTCAAGTTTTAACTTGTACTTATTTATTTGATGTAGATACTATTCTGGAGAGAAAAAGGCTCCTGTGATGACCTTATTCATAGGTGGAAATCATGAGGCTTCCAACCACTTACAAGAACTTCCTTATGGTGGCTGGGTTGCTCCCAACATTTATTACTTAGGTATGACATTTAAAGGGACAGTATGTAATATTTTCTGTTTAAATTAGGTCAACATATTTTATGTGTCCCTAGATAATCTGTGAAAATGTATGAATTATAATTTACATTTACTGAAAAAAGTTTAAAGAGTTTGAATTAGAATTGCAATCCATGGTATTCATGTATATGATTTTTAAGTATATTACTCAATTGAAGAGCAGAATATGTCTCGTTTGGGTAAATAATTTGTGTTATGTGAAATGTAGTATAATCATAAACAGGGTTCACAAACAAAAAAGAAGCACATTTGTTTTTATGAAAACTTACGTAAAAACAAGTTTTTTCTGTTTCTAGCTAAATCCCAGCAGGTGGTTTTTTCAGTAATCAGTGCTAAGGAGGTGAATCATTCACAGGCAGTGAAACTCTGGCATTAAAGTTGGATTGTTATTGATTTTATTAGACCACAACGTGTGCATATTACATACGGTCCCTTTAAGACTGGGCTTCATTATGCTTCTTGCAGACTGTGATACTTTTCTCTTTTGGACTGAACTGATCGTTCTTTGTTTACAGGTTATGCTGGCGTTGTTCGCTATAAAGGCGTTCGTATTGGAGGTGCATCTGGGATTTTCAAATCTTACGACTACAGGAAGGGTGAGTTTATTACATGTTTGAATTTTAAATTACATAATGCACAACATTTACAAAAAAACATTTTTCAGGTCACTTTGAATACCCTCCTTATAATCATGAATCCCTTCGAACTGTTTACCACATTAGAAATATTGATGTTTTCAAACTAAAACAGGTACTTTTTATATTTTTCTATGTTTCTTGATTTCTTCATAATTTTTTATTTCATATAAAATATCACTCAGATTCAAATGCCCATGGATATCTTTTTGAGTCACGATTGGCCGCAAGGTATATATAACTATGGAGACACAGCAGATCTTCTTAAAAAGAAGAAGTTTCTGAGACAGGAAGTGGAGTTTAATTCTCTTGGAAGTCCTGCTGCAGCAGAGCTTCTGTCTCACCTGCAACCTACCTACTGGTTCTCTGCACATCTTCATGTCAAGTTTGCTGCAGTTATGGAACATCCTGTAAGAGAACTAAGACCTGAACCAGAAAAACTACCTGTATGTGTGTATATATATATATATATATATTTGTTTTTTTTCTCTCTCTTTCTTCCTAGCCCAAAGGTAGTGCCCTGCCACGTGTGACTAAGTTCCTTTCACTTGACAAATGTTTGCCCTACAGAGAGTTCTTGCAAGTAATTAAACACATTAAATTACAGGTTTATATTCTATTTGTGGATTGGTTACATATGGCTGAATTTGCAGATCGTGGATATGGCAGATAGATCAGGTTCATCTGATGAAGGTCTTGAGTATGATCCAGAGTGGCTTGCTATTCTAAAGAATACAAACAGTTTGCCATCAATCAGCCATCAAAACTGGAATCCACCAGAAAATAATGGTCTGCATGAAAAGTAAGTATCAAAATGTCAGTGCAAATTTCCACATGGCATGTCTAAAATGTATTTTTTTAAATAGGTGGGACTTCAGAGTTTCAGAAGGTGACATGATGAAAGTGGTGGAAGATCTTAATGGCAACCTGGCCATACCAGACAACTTTTGTTTGACTCTACCAGCTTATGATCCCACAAATCCCCACCCACAGATGAGCCCGAGTTATAACACCAACCCACAAACCACAGAGATGTGTGCCACTTTAGGTCTCACAGACATCTACGCTCAGGTTGGACAGAGTAGAGAGTTGAGTCAGAGTTTTAGTGATTCTAGAGGGGAGAACAATGAAAGCGGAGATGAGCTCAGCGAGTATCCAACCGATACTTCAGCATTGTCAGGTTCTTTCAATCCCGATGAGATCACAATAGAGGATGAATGGGAAGAGGAGGAGGATGCAAAGGAAGTGGAAATTACCAAACTTTCAACAGGTTCAATCCACACTCCTAGCCGCTTGATTCTGCCTGCACCAAAGTCCTCGGTTTCCCCCGGTGACTTAATGAACAACATGCCTTCTCCTTCTCACTCAACACCAGCACCAGTCCGCTCTCAATCTCAAAGCGACAGTCTTAATGACAGTAAGGAGGATACATCGCCTACCCGTGTGATGAAGCGTAGTAGCGATGAAAAGGCAAATCCTGGCAGCCGCAACACTACGCCATTGATAAAGCGAAGGAACCAGGAGATATACACAACAGTAGATGATGATGAAAACTAAATCCTAAAGTTGTTGTTTAACTGATCTTAAGCTTATGTTGAAAAATTTATTTTAACGTTGCAATAACTCTTTTGACTATTCAAGATATAATACCAGCATCTCTTATGAATTGGGAACTACTGATGTAGAACACAAAGTCGGGGTCTTGAGCCCCAACATTTTCATGTTCCAAGATAATTTCGCAAGATCATTTCCAGAAAATATTTTGATAAATAGTATTTTTAGCTGATATTGGATCAAATGGCACAAATGTTTTGATGCTTCAAATTGTTATATTAAATTGTTACAATCAGTGTGAGTCTGTTTTTCATGCCTATTTTGGGGATCTGGCCTGAGATCCTAAACTAAACAAAACTAAGCACAAATATCTATTGATTCCTTATATTTTCTTAAATGACAGGTCTTGTGTGCATATGCCTTTACAAAGGGAGAAATTAATTAAAAGGAACAATAAAAGTTTCAATTATTTATTGCCACTATGATATCAATATTCACAAACGGCTTTGCCAAAACACAGCAAGTGAGAGACACCAAACACAAGATAAACGGATGTCGTCCTTTTAACATTTATTACAGCTTAATATCCATCCAGTTTATTATATCAACGTAAAAACCAAAAAAGCCTGTGGTTAGTAGTCCAGTGCACATTGGTAGTAACTTCTGCTCAACAATATTAAATACACTGATCCTTAAATAAAAGTCAGTGTAATTATTTTGTGTATTTTTATTTTTATTGAATGGTTTCACTACAGAGGATTATTTTGTCAGTCGCTAGTGGCTGTTGTATGTGGCTAAGCAGGACACACAATTGCCTGAAATAAATGCAGCCAAGAAGAATGCAGAAAAGCGCATTTGTTTTATAACTGTTACTTAACGTGCTCCCTCAATACACAAGTGTGTGCATTTTGTGCAATCACTTGTTCAATAAAATAATAAAACTTATATAAAATAAATTACAATTTGTGCCAAAATATCATGCTCTGTCTGCCAATTATTTCAAGTCACCTCACAGCAGTACTTTTCCACTGAATGTGAATACATGTACGTAATGTACAGTTCTGTTTTGTTTTTGTCTTCCCTCTAAGTTCTGGATGAGAACTAAAAAGTTAATGTATGTTTTATCAGAGGGTAAAGATTCGGAACGGATGTTGACACAGCACATTGACTGGTAGAAGTACTGGACTGAAGAATGAGCAGAGCCACAATGGTGGATGTTCTAATTTCCTCCGCAGCATGCCCGCGCAGAGTGCGCATCTGGATCCTGAAGGTTTACTCCCCGGTGCCGTGCAGCATGTGTAGGATTCTGGGTGTCTGTTTTTGGCATCTTTTTTGCTACATTTTTCAAAGAACAACAAAAGCAGAAATTAACCACATCAATTTAATAGCTAACTTAAACTTACCAAATATGTTTGTTCTACAGAATATAAGCATACCAATAGCCAGGAATAGTTCATTAACGTTCATGGCCGTCTTGGCAGAAGTTTCCATAAAAAGCAAACCAGTGTCTTCAGCATAAGTCTGGGCTTCCTGAATGGCACAGTGACAACAATGCCAGATTAAACAGTTTGTTGCACAGTATGAAATGGAAAATATAGACAAAGGTTAGGTTTAGATATAAGACATTACCTCGAATTCTACAAGTCTCTTTTCAGACAGATCGGCTTTGTTTCCGGCCAGGGCAATTACAATGTTGGGACTTGCTTGTCTTTGCAATTCCTTAACCCAGGCCTTGGCTCTTTCAAACGTGTCCTTGAAAATATCACAGATTATACTCAAATCAACACTTTTTGAGTTACACATTTGAATTAAATAAATATTATGTACCGGTTTGGTGATGTCAAATACCACTATTGCAGCCTGTGCTCCACGATAATACATAGGCGCCAAGCTGTGATATCGTTCTTGTCCGGCAGTGTCCCATATCTCAAACTTTACAGTCGTATCATCTAGACACACTGACTGTGCCAAAAATGCAGCTAAAAACAAGAATTTAGGAATTATTATTTTATTGTTAGAATATGGAATTATAATAGGAAATATGGCACATTACAGCTTGCACTCACCCCCTATAGTGGTCTCTTGAAATTCATCAAATTGCCCTTTCACAAACCGAAGCACCAGGCTGGACTTTCCCACAGCCATGTCCCCCAGCAGCACCAACTTGAACTGACAGATCTTAGTCTGTGGCAGTGCGCCGTTATTGCGGCCTCCACTCCCTCTGGAGCTCATACTGACCAGAGTAAGAGCCTCCTCGTGGGGTGGAGACAGGTGCTTCTGTGCTACTGGTCACTTGTAACTCCTCCAAGATGAAGGCCCACTTCTGCACCACGAGATGGCCTTTCCAATTTATGGTGTGGGGAAAAAAATAAATAAATAATGAAAAATCACAGTCACAGTGAGATAGGAATATCAACCATAATTATGCATAGGGTCTTAAATAAACATGTACTTGGTGGAGCAACAGCACCCCCAACGCGAAATTGACATCAATGTCGAACAAAAATTATGTATAATAACAAGAGATTTACAGAAGAATGGTGACAATGTTTTCACCACTATATAACAGCACCAGAACATTTGTAAATGTTTTTTAGCACAACTTATTGTTATCAGTTCAACTCTTATCAAACCATTGCGCGATTCAACGATCTGGTCATTACAACTACAGAGTAGGTTGATGTAAAGCTCAAGTAAAACAGAAGATCCAAACAAAAACACACATGCAAACACTTCAGAGGAATGCAGCCCAAATAAAATAGGTCAGTTACTCGGGCACCTGTCTGTGATGTCGTTCAGACCTCAGATAAACCTCGCTTCTCTGTTGACAATTTTCGTTGTCAGCTGGTGGTAAAATGCTACTTCCTGGAAAGCTACGCATGCGCATTGTGTATCGCTTGTCAACTTCGAATGGTTATTACGCTATAATAGATTTCTGTGGTGCCTAATATATATATATATATGTATACACGCACACACAAATTATATATGTATATTTTTTTATATATAAATATAAAACTAATTGTACTTTAATAAGCCTATAGCCTCCATGCCACTTGAGGCAGTATTGCATTGTACAGCCATGACGTATGAATGGTGAGCATGGATCATGGGCATGATACGTGATGTTGTTGATCATGTTTACAGTCTACGATCATTAGAGGAAGTTTATGTGGTCATTAACGGCTAGATTATTAATCATGCCTGTAACAAACAAAACGAAACGAGGAAAAGACACTTCGGTGAGTTTTTGTTTTTATTAATCTTATTTAAGTACAAAATCTTTTCTATGACGAAATATCCTATACAGTGTGTGAGTATGATTTAGTATGTATAATAATGTGACTTCACCCGCAGGTACAAGGGACCAATGACAGCAGTGTGGTGAGCAAAGTGTCAGCTGCTGCCCAGGGATACTTCCAAGATATGTACCAGCAGCACTTTGTGTGCAAAGTATCAAGAAGAGCACCACTCATCAACAGGTTTAGTTGATAAAAGATTTTCCATTTTAGACTTGCTTTACAACGGGTTCCAATTGCTTATAGTATGTCCAATGTTATTTTATAGCTGTGCATGCGATGTTACTCAAATGGCATTTCAAGTATGTGTTAAAATATATTTTGTTAACATTTGCCTCTGTATAAATGACTTACAACTTAGCCTTGTGAACAGAACAGAAAGAGAAGTTCTGGCACCATTCATACAGTACATGGATAAATACATTGCAGGGGTTACTATGTTCGCTGGAAAGCTGTGGACCACTGCATTAAAAGATTTATTGATGTAACTTCAAATATTCCAAAAAGACAGGCAAGTTTGTTCTGTCTTCTATGATTCACGATACACGATGGCCTATGGTGCAACTAACCAACTATATGTTGCAGATTTTGTCTGTGGGAGCAGGATTTGACTCGTTGTATTTCAGGCTACATTCATCTGGAGTCCTCACAGATGCTGTAGTGTTTGAGGTGGATTTTCCAGAGGTTGCCAGGCGTAAATCTGCATTGATAAACTCAAATGTGACTCTGAGGGAAAGGCTTGATTCTAACTGTAAATGTGTAACAGGTTTGTCATAATCTAACTTTGTTTATTTCAGTAGAATAGATTTTATCACAAATGGTTTTGATTTTGCAGAGCCTTTGTACTTCTCCAGCTCACAGTATTTACTGCTTGGTGTGGATGTGAGAGAGCTTCTCCAAATGGAAAAGGCCCTGAATTTAGCTGGTTTTGACCGGACAGCGCCAACATTGATTTTATCAGAAGTGGTGCTTACATATATGGAAGTAAACTGGCAAGTACAAAGTTGCAACAGTATAATTTGTTTGCCAGCTGTGTAAATTATGTTTTGTTGTCTAGGTCTGACTCAGTAATTAGATGGGCAGCTGATCTTCTACCTGATTCATTATTTGTAATTTATGAACAAATACATCCGTTTGATCCATTTGGACAAATCATGCAAGAGCATTTTAAAAATCTGAATTCAACTCTCTATGCCTTGAAAAAGTACCCTGATGTTGAAGCACAGAGATGCAGGTTCCTTGATAATGTACGTAATATAGAAAATATAATAATGCTGATCTGATCCCTGCGTCATGACTCTTGGTGTGTTGTCAGGGCTGGGAGCAGTGTGTCTGTTTAGACATGAATAGTTTCTACATTGGACTAGTTCCTGAGGCGGAAAAATTGAAAATTGAAAATCTGGAGCCATTTGATGAACATGAGGCACGTTTAAGTCTATTTTAACTTTGGGTATTGCATATCATTGTTATTGTTGTTTTATTATACATTGGCTTTGTGCAGGCTTTGTAGGTTATAATACAATAAAGGAAGGTATTATATGTTCTGTGACTCCATTACAGGAATGGCACCTGAAATGTGCTCATTACTTCATTCTAACAGCATCCCGAGGGTCTCTGACAGCACATGAAATACTGTCACAAGCCGGTAGCTCCTTTTTTTATGAGTAATATGAGTATTCAAATTTTTGCTTTCCATAATTTAGTTTTTTTAATAAATATTATCACTATTTTTTTATTGCTTTACTGTAGAGTCACCTTTGACAATTAGCAGTCCCTCTTGTAGCCCCATCTTTCTACCCGTCAGAACAATACCAGTTTCAACACAGGGGCTTGGAATGGCATCTACTTCTCTTCGTCCAAATGTCCTACTTCTTACGGGAGGGTCCAGCAAAGCAGGAAGAGAAGCACAGATTGGAATACTACACAAAAGCAACGACTGTTGGAAATGTATCAAAGTGACATCTGCAGATATGGGTATTTTTAATTGTAATTGTATGATGCATGGAAATATGAAATGTATTGTTTAGATGAAATTGTACATGTGTTCTCTTACAGGGATCCGTTTGTATCACACTGTGTCAACTATTCCAGGAAAATCTTGTATTGTAATAGGGGGGCGTACATCTCCTCTTAACCCAGTGAAAAGTGTATACAAGTTAACAATTGACCCATGCTCTACGCTTGACTTTGAAGGTGAAGATGTTAACGTCAGTGTAGAGCAGGTGGTCTGTGATGGGGGACATGCAGTATCAAGATGGAGACACACTACCACTTTGGTCCATCACAAAGGTAAGGGAAAAAATATTTTCATATTGACATATTAGTGTATGTGTTCAAAATTGTCACTTTTCATTGCAGATAAAGATTTTCTCTTTGTATTTGGTGGTAAAAATGGAATGCAAGAGATTTGTGGGAATAGTATTTTCATGGATTTAAGTCTGAATCGCTGGACTGAGGTTAGATCAGTGTGTAACAAGATTTATTTGTCCTTTTTAAAAGTTCTAAAATGCAACTACATTTATACAGGAGCCAATTGAAGGAACAGCACCAGAAGTCAGATTTTCCCATTCAGCATGTCCTTACCAGGGAGGGGCAGTTATATTTGGAGGCCTCGGGCGAAGAGGAGTTCCACTTGGTGATACAACACTGTTAAAACCAACCAGTAGTGGCTTTTGTTGGCAGAGACTTGATATAAAACCCACACCCATCGCTAGGTTTGTGATCTCAAGCTTAATGAAGCCTATAGCCTCCTTCTTCCAAAAACAATATATTAAACACAATTACTATACAGTACATATGAAATTCCTTATATATACTAGGTACTCCCACACTGCACATGTGATCGGAGACAAACTACTTGTGGTTGGTGGCGTGTGGCTGTGTTCCCATGTCCCAGGTGTGGCTGTGGTCGACCTCAACACACAGAGCAGCATTGAGTATCGCCTTGATGTGGTAAGAAGATTCATACCATGTACATCCATGGCCTGTTAGAATAATGTAACACAGGTGTCTTTCCATGTTCAGACTTCCATCCCCTGGCCTCTGATGCTCCACTCATTCTGCTCTGAGTTGTCAGACTCAAAAGAAGAGTTATTGTTGATAGGAGGTGGTGGAAACTGTTTTTCTTTTGGGACTCATTTAAACCCACATCCTGTTGTTGTGGACCTCAGACTGATTGACTGCTTGGATACAAAACAGGCCTGTCTACTTTAGGTACTATTATATATTTTAACCAAGTAATAAAGGACCATGCAAAATGTATTTTATGTTTGACTACATTTTTATTTTGAAAACTCTATCAGAAGTAATTTGATTTGCATTCCAAACATTTTGCTTAAAACGTCACTCCGTGAAGCGTCTGAAGGACTGAACTGCTGCATTGGCCGCTCCCCAGTCCCCAGGCCTGCGGTACTCTCCCTTCTCAAGAAAATACTGACGTCCACGGTAGTTTGCATGCTCGTAGAAAACCCACCAACCATCAAACACCTTGCAGGAACAAACTTCTCTCCAGTGGAGTTTCTCAAGTAGTGAGGGGCAGTCGTCACTTGTCTCGAAGGCCTGGCCTCCGAAGTCTGCCTTCTCATACAGCTGCATTTTGTAAGAAGTTTCACCAGCCTGGGGATGCCACACAGCAATGGTTAAAACAGCCCAAAAAATCATGGGAAAGAGAGATGAAAAAAAAAATGCCGGAGACTAAAAAAGTTCTTGTTAAATAATTTTGGCACATGGTACAAAAGCATTACGGTTGGAGCAACAATCAAACTGTCTTTGATTTTAGATAGTACAGTTTATTATCTTAAATAGTTTTAGAAATGTGCACACATAGTTCTAGTAACAATATTGATCATGTGTGACTAATGATGCCTGAGGCTGCAGGTCAGAGGTTTCCCTGGCCAAGCCACATATCAGATTGATCCTGGCAAATTGTTCAGCACATTTTCTGAATATATTGAGATTAACAAGTAAACACTGAGCACGTTAGACCATATTACCATTGTTTGACTTACAAAGTGGATCATCTTGCAGGAGCTGATGCGGTCATTAACACCCATCCAGCGCTGATAATCTGGATAGTCCCCTCTCTTCACCACATATTGATAGCCCATGTAGTTGGGCCTCTCATACACCACCCATGCCCCGCTCTCCACCCGGATGGAGTTGCACCGGCTCAGGTAGGCTTGGAAGTCAGAGCAGTTACTGTCACACTCATACCGACGGCCTTGGAAGTTTTTGTCTTCGTAAAAAATGATCTGAAAAACAATGTTTTTTGTAAGAAATTTCATGACTTTTTAATTCATATGAAAGTAAACTCACCCTGCCCATGCTGGTTATTTTTTTTAAGATAGCCTTGCTGATGGTAGCTGGTGGTGTGCAAGTCTAAGTGTTTCTCTATCGCATGCAGTCCCTTTTATACCAGTGCCACCCACATTTATAGACAACTGGATGGGGAAAGAGGAACAATTGCTTTGTCATGAAAATTAGATTCAAAAATTGAGTCAGTGATTCTAGTGCTATTCAGTTTTTCCAGAAACGCGAGGAAGGATTACGGCATAAAGGCCGGGCATGGTGAGCGTCCACTGACCCCACTTCTGTTCTGACTGGTTCAGTGGACTGCTGGCTCATCCTGCTTCTGTCTATGCCAGCTGCACCAGTTTACCCTGGCACAGCTTTGGCATCTCATGAATCATCATTTATATTTGAATAACAACTTTAAATGGTACAAAAATATTGTGTATTTAGATAATTATCTACACTGGATATTCTAATAATGAACCTTTTTAAATAAAGTATTTCAAATTATTTTATTTACTGTGGTATAGACCAAATATTCAGAATATAGAATCATGGGTAACAAAAATAAATCTGATGTACATTGTAGACATTTGTGAGATTTTATTCCTTCAATCCAGAGGTTATTAATATTACATGTATTATTTATTTACTATATAAAAATGTGCTAACTAGTAAATATGCATTCTATATTTGCCAACTCAATATTTATACAGTTATTTACATTGTTATATGTTCAACATAAATAGCATTGAACAGAAAAGTTTAATTCATTCATCCTTTTCATGGTCTTCACTTGTTCAATGCGACCAAATATTGCTACAAAACCTTAACTCAAGTACTGGGAATGTTCTACAACATGCCAATCCACACCCTGCTTGGATTAAATGTGAAAAATCAACTCATATTAAGCACATATTAAGCTGACCTTAAGCTTAAAATGAAGCTAAGTATATAATGATCTGTTATAACTTTAATAGGCCGCAGTAGACTGTCCCTTTGATTGTCCATTTGAAATAATGCGGTTTCCATTAGCCTTGAGAGAATTGGGGTCTTGACAGTTTGGAGTCTTCTGCGTTGAACATGGTGGTAGCAGACTGTCCAGTTCTAGTCTGTTTCCAGTTTCAAGGAGCCACTCATGAAACTTCATTTCCACCAGTGATTGGAACTGCCTCGTCTGCGCCCTTTGTAAAGTTAGAAAACAAGGTTTGTTGTTAAAAGTATGTCAAATATTCGTCCACTATCTATATAATGAAATGAAAGATGAAATGCAGCAGTATTATATCAGTTGTTTAACTGAAACTATTTAGCTTGCACAAAAATCTGTCTTACATTAAAATTTGAATAAATAAAATTGGGAAATGTCCTCATTTTGATTACTTTGGCCTTCTTCAATTACCTTGGTAGTTAAATATTTAGTATATAAAAATGTGACTATAATGTGGCTTAAAGTCACACCGTGGGCTTTAAGCCACAGATATAAGCCATAGATGTCCATTAATGGACATCTATGGCTTATATCTGTTTGTTTTAAAATGTCATGTCCTGTGTTTGCCTTTGTTTGTTGTGAATTAGGCTATACTAAAATAAATGGAAATGAAAGACTACATGGGCGGCAGTGGCTCAGTTGGTAGAGCATTGGCCTTTGGGCTTGAAGGTCGTGGGTTCGAGTCCACCACGAGACCTACTTCAAGACTCCCACTGTTGACTGCTGTCGTTGTGTCCTTGGGCAAGACACTTAACCCCACTTTGCCTGAAGCCCCCGCTGAAAGATCTAGCTCCTGTGGACTCCCCACCTACAGGAGGATCAGTGAGGGGCTGGTGCTATGTGTACTGGGTGCAGCTCTGACTGCCAACCCCCCAACCCAGAAATGGATAAAGGGGAAGAAAATGGATGGATGGATGGAAAGGCTACATTTAAAACAGGTAAATAGTCTTGTTGTTTGGCGTCTTACTTGTTTAATCGGGTCTCTGTGACAGTTTTTTGCCATTTTTTTATTCTCCTCCTCTTCTCCTCTACTGCCTCCTGGTACAAAGGTGGCAGTCCTCCTGGAATCTCACTTGTGTCCCCCTCCATTTCAAAAGGCACAACCAGAGTGTGAAACTCTGCTGGAGGAATCAGGCGATAACAGACTGACTCCAGGCTGGCTGTTGTGTTGCATTGTGAAGCATTTAAAAGTCCTTCGGTACTCAAAACCAAGGGCTGATCCCAGAAATTTGGTACAACAGCCAAGCCCACGCTGGCCATGTGATCCTCCAGGTAGGGATAAAAAGTATGAAAGGGACCAAAGGTGATGTTTTTGTTTCCTGGAAGTAGCAAAGGTCTTGTAGGTGTTAAGATGAAGGCAGTGCAATGTGAAGATGCTCCAAAGACCATTCTTCCTGCGACACACACAATCCTCACGTTTTGACAGCAGTATACATGAACTGTAGTCTCGACAGGACCAAGAACAATTGTACAGTCACGGCACTTGTCCACCGTCACAGATCTGAACAATAAAAACAAAATCATTAATTTTCTTTTTAAAATGACAAAATTAAAAGTTATTCTTACCTTAGAGGTGACAGTAGATAAATGAAGGAGTCAGCACATCTATGTATCTTTAAGTTGGTACCTGCTAGCTTCTCTGAGGTTTTAGCAAGTGTTTGCTTTAACACCTGAGACATCAGCACTATCTTACTACCCAGAGGAGCTGTGTGAGTATTTCGGGCCACTTTGGCTCTCTTCATAGCTCCCTCAACTATTGAACACAAAGACACAAATAAATAAAATATTCACAATATAGTGACAGTCAAAATAAAAGTTCACCTTGTTGGGCCCATGCTAGCTTTTTTCCTGACTGCAGACACGCCGTGATACCAAAAGGGTTGAGGGAGAGATTTTGTTGGAGACACAAGAGGAGTTTATGGAGAGGGAAAGATTGGCTTTTTGTGCAGTAACCTGCTTCATTCTGAAGAGGGCACTTTGTCAATAGTCGATAAACAGGCTGAACACTTGTGCCTTGACTAGAACCTTCCAAGAGCAGACTTAAACTCTGCACTTCCTCCAGAGATATCTGTAACGCATAGATGCAGTGTTGTTGTATCTGATCATAATGAACTCATGTTTGTGTTAACATTTTGAGCTGTCGGACCTGACAATCTCGCAGAGCCTGCCCAGTACGTGACAGTTGACCAGGTTCAACTAGCAGCTCCAGAATCTCACCAAGATGACCATTTATAAATGAGAGGTGTGCCTGGTCGTCCCAATTCTATAAATAGGACAAAGTGTATTCATATTTAATAATAAATACTACACAGTAAACATAATGAATGCTCATACTTTGTTCTGACAGCTGGTCTTGCCCTCACGATCTGATGTTGATGGAGATGGGGAGCGAGTTCGATGACTGGGCCACTCTTCAACAATTGAAGAAGAACGCAAAGATACACGGTTTAGTTGTTGGACAAAAAGAAATAGGATGAACTGCAGTGTGTCCACGGACAACTGTAAAAAAAGAAAAGAAAAAGAATTGTAATTATATTAAAATGTACCCCTCGACCTCAGGTGACAGCTATTCGTCTATGCATGTGTGCAGTGTGTGCAGTGTGTGCAGTGTTATGGTTTGAATGTGATATGCGCATCAGGAAAACCCTCTTCCCAAGACATTATTCACCTTGTTCTTTTGTTGGTCAAGTTCACTTGTAGAGGAACACTGGGAAAGTAACTCAGCCCACTCAAGTCTTTTTTCTGGATTATGACCAACGAGAAGATCGAATGTTTCAAAATATAGCCAAGCCAGGTCTTCTGGGAGCTGAAGTTTCCCACATGCAATATGCCTCCACATAGGCCAGCCCAGGACAGGAAAACAGCCATCCCTTGTCCTCACATATGTTGCCATCTTTCGAAGATAGTGAAGACTAAGCTTGGAAGAAGGGGCCACCTGAAACCAACAAATAATAAGGGACAATTAACCTTGCATCCATGGCACTTTTTAAGAGGAAAATGTAATGAACACATACCGGCAAAGCCCCCAGCATAAAAGGCTCCATGCGAGGCCAAATGCTTGTACCATCTTCCTCCATCTCTTAAAAAAACAAAAGAAACACTGCATTATTGTAAAGCTGCTATGCATGGGTAAGAAAACCGGGCAGCACATTTGTATTGTACTAAAATGGGACTTTCCTTACGCTCATTGAGATTACAATAACATATATGATACAACAGGAAGTATTCATTGGAGAGTATGCTAGAGTGATAATGTAATTTTAACAAGTCGTTCAATGATATATCAAAAGCTTTAGTCTGTCTTTTAGCTACTATAATCTGAGATGTTGTTTACAAAGCGAAACTGCTACTTAAATAACGATTTTTATTCGGATACGCTTAATCTTGCAGTCCTAATGGAGATTTCTAACTTTAACGCCATTCAGGGGAACATTTCAGGCAAAACACTAGAATCTCCATGGAGGATTCAAACCAGATAGACCAGGAGAACTATAATCCACCAAAAAGGTCCCCTTAAAGTCACAGTCACAAATCCATAACAACTTCATGGACAACAAGGCTGCTACAATAACATGACCATCACAACACCAGGACAATCAGTCTGGAGGTAAACATATAGACTGCATTTTTAAAACACCCATCTAGAAATAAGCGACAACGCTAAATATTAACAAGTTTTCAGTGTAATCCCAAACAGCTTCGCTCTTACGTCCTGTGTTGATCTCTTCAGCGCGTTTTTGTGTTTTAACTCTTGTTTTATTTAAGGTTAGTCTGCATCTAATAAGTTGCATTACTGCCACCTTCAGGTTGTCTTCAATAATGCCCATGATATGCATGATACCTGCACCATAACCCTCTACAAGGATAGGATGAATACATAGACTGTATGATGAATATAACTATGAGTACAACCAGCAATTCTATGGAGGACCAAAACTGCCAAAGTAATAAATAAATGAATAAAAAAATAAATGTCACAATCTGCATATTATTCTTAATGTAACGCTATAAATTGTGCTATCATAGTAATGACATTTACATTTATTTATTTATTCATTTATTTATAATTTGGACCGTTTCGGTCATTTATGGTGTGGGTGTGAGGTTTTTTTTTTTTTTTTTTTTTTTCTCAAAATCTATGACAAAGACAGATATACCATTACACGTCAAAAATCTGTCCTTCTAAACAGTAGTATTAATTTTATGATAACATTCTTTTACATATCCAAGCTCTTTATGGGCCGCTAGTAGTAAGGGGCAGGACTTCTCTGACAGCAGCAGGAAGTAGGTTTGTGACTGGCAGCAGGAGCCAGCTTCAAAAGCCGGTGAATTTACTTCGACTTTTTCGTTATATTGTTTTATATTTAAAGCATCTATGGCTGCTAAAGGGACAAGTCTGTGCTCGGTGTGCTGTCTGCTGCTCTATGTGGTCACGGCGGTGCTAGCGGGGTGAGTAGAACCATGTTTTAACCCAGAGAAGTGCGCTATGTGACATGTAACATCAGATCCAGCTGGTACACATGTTTCACTGTGATTGGTCTGTAGAGGCTCTTCGTCTTTAGAGTAACTAGAAACGCATAGTAAACAGCAGTCTACTTGCATATAAAGATAATTTGAATCAAACAATATGGTTCGTACAATCAAGCACATGTAAGGATCACACAATAGATTGAAATGTTAGCTTTAGCTGCAGTTAGCTAAAATGATAGTTTGGCGAAATGACAAATTAACATTGTTTGACACTACACACATCTACTGCCTTTAAACATTTCATTGTGCTCTTTGATGTAGTTATGATGTACGATTGTGTTCTTTATAGGCGCGACTTTTACAAGATTTTGGGAGTGGAGAAGAGTGCAACTATCAGGGACATTAAAAAGGCTTACAGAAAACTGGCTCTTCAGCTACACCCCGACAGAAACCAGGACGACCCCAGTGCGCAGGATAAATTTGCAGATTTAGGAGCAGCATATGAGGCAAGTAACGTCCTGCGTCCATTCATAACGAACTATGTTGGACACATTTTTTATTTATTTTTTAGAACAGTGCGGGTTCTACTCCAGCCTTTCTATCAATCGGTTGTTGATGGAAACGCTGCGGGCTTGCTGATTGGTTGGCTTGACTGTGTGGCTTCTTCTGATTGGCTCTCTCTGTAGATATTTGTGTTTTTCAGAAACCTGGACTGGACTTTGTGAAAGGAGCTGAAAGGGGTCATAGAGTTTGCTAAAAGTGTATTTAGTTTCAGAATACTGAATTCCGTCTACAGTGTATTGCACTTCGGAAAGCTGTCAAATTAACCTGGGACATATAGTATGAAACCATGTTGTAGTTTGTTGAACTAATGCTTTGAAATCTGGCTGCAAGATGAGACATGAAATTTGTATGCATCAGAAAAGTACTGTTTTCTTTGCATCACTCTGCTTTGAGCGATGCAATTTGAAGCCAGCTTTCATGGTAAAATATTTTCATGTATTCCTTTGAATAAAAAAAAAACATGCCTCACTTGGATCAGAAAATTCTTTACAATTGTCTAAACTATACTCACTATAGTGGTTTCTGAGCTGGCCCAGAAATGGACAAAGGGGAAGAAAGTTGATGGATATTCACTAGATTTGATCTTTTTTGTGACTTTATATAGGTGCTCTCAGATGAGGAGAAACGAAAACAGTATGATGCTTATGGGGAAGACGGACTCAAAGAAGGTCACCACGGCTCGCATAATGACATCTTCTCAAGGTTTGTGTAGTTTTAAAAAGCAACACAAAAACAAAGCAATGCACTTTGCCTGCTGTATTGTGTGTCAACCTTTTCCTGTGCAGCTTCTTTGGTGATTTCGGGTTCATGTTTGGAGGAAACCGGCAGCAACAGGACAGGAATATCCCTCGAGGGAATGACATAATTCTGGATTTAGAGGTCACACTTGAAGAGGTGTATTCTGGAAACTTTGTTGAGGTACTCCTTCAGATCTGTTGTATTTTTTTTTTTTTTTTTTTCTTTCACTAGATTCTTGTGCATCACTGATTTTGAACATTATTAAAAAATAATTTGCAGGTTGTACGCAACAAACCAGTAGCCAAAGAAGCTGCTGGAAAAAGAAAGTGTAACTGTAGACAGGAGATGAGAACCACACAGCTTGGACCAGGCCGTTTCCAAATGACACAAGAGATGGTCTGTGATGAGTGTCCCAATGTCAAGTAAGTAATTCAATGATAAATTCTACTGTATCCTTACACTAACCTGGTTCCTGAACAGATGATATGATACTTGTTTGTGGCTGTGACTAACTCTCTAGTGGTTTTCTAGATTGGTGAACGAAGAACGGACGTTAGAAGTTGAGATTGAACAAGGAGTACGAGACGAGATGGAGTATCCATTCATTGGAGAAGGTTTGTATTAAAATTAGCGCAGTCAGTTAAACCTTTTATTGACGATAACAGTAAGTTTTTTAAATTGCGCGTTTTAATGTTCTTTTTGGCCGAGCACCCTGTTTTGTGCATGCTGTTGCAACGTCTAGTAATGTAAATGACAACACCACTCCAGGTGTAACAAGAATGGAAACTGAAACAAAGCAGCTTCGCTGTATGCATAAACACTGGCAGTGGGCACAAAACCGTGGCTGTGAAGTTTAGTGAAAGATGTCAGAATCACTGTAAAACCTATGTCTCCTTCTAATGTTTACTGCAAATGGTATGGACATGTGGAGCTGTGTCAAAGACCATTAGCACAAACCTACTTTTATATATTAATTTTTTATATACTTGGTTCACATTTTGGGCTGACAAGCTGTGCGTTGCTCGTCAACGTGTGGGTTTCATGCCTTTCCCCTCCAAAAGTCTTGTGTGGGACGTAAGGTACTGCAGGCATCACGGAAAACAAAAGCAATCTTACTTGCTGGTGATTACTGGAGGTCCATCAGTAACTCAGTAACTCAGTCTCGATGTGAGATTATTCAGAAATTGTCTATGGCATAAATGGGTTTGACAATACTAATTAAAAGCTTTATATAAATCAATGTTTTTGCAATGCTTTCTTTAGGTGAGCCTCATATTGATGGAGAACCTGGAGATCTGCGCTTCCGCATTAAAGTTTTGAAGTAAGTGAGATAAATGGATGCATTAGGAGGTTAACTTTCCGCCATGATGAAGGTAAAGTGGTGAGTGCACTTGAAGATTGGATACCTCTCTCCCTGTGGAGAAATCGCATATAATCATACAGCATGAGGACTTCTTTATAATGAAGTTGCCACCAATCAATTAAATCTAGCCTTGTGCTAATTCTGGTATTTTTACACCTTAATTATACACTTAACACATGCAGTCAAAAAAAAAAAAAAAATAATCCTCACATTTCCAACCATGCCTTTCAATCTTTATGCCCATTAACAGAAGAAACTCTTGTTATGGACCATTTCCTCTTTCAGACATCCAGTGTTTGAGCGCCGAGGCGATGACCTCTACACAAATGTCACTATTTCACTGGTGGAGGCGCTCGTCGGCTTTGAGATGGACATAGTTCATTTAGATGGACACAAGGTCGAACTCCTATTTTAACATACATGTATTTAGCCTGTACAAATGCACAGTTAAAGGAAATCTTGTTGTCTTTCTGCAGGTACATATTGTAAGAGACAAAATCACCAAGCCCGGTGCTCGGATGTGGAAGAAAGGCGAGGGTCTTCCAAACTTTGACAATATCAACATTCGTGGCTCACTAATTATTACATTTGATGTTGAGTTTCCGCAAGCACAACTAGACGACAAACAAAAACAAGGTGGGAATGATTTTTTTTAAGTTAATGATTCATAAAATATTGCTTCTATGTGATCTTCCATATTTGTTTCAGGAATACGGAATATCTTGAAGCAGAGTTCAGTACAAAAGGTTTACAATGGACTACAAGGATATTAGGGACAGATTGGACTGAGCACCTGCCACTCCCATCCACAGACCTGCAATAACTGGAGCTTCTTGGGATTCTGGCTAGGGTCTATTTATTATTTTCTTATTGTTCTCAGGATGGCATCAATCCCATTTGATTTTATTTCCCTGTCCTAAATGAACACAGTTTGTTTTTTATTTGTGTGGCAATAGTTAAAATATTTAATTTTCAAGATAATTTTGTACCATCATGATTGTATTTAGTGGAAGTTGGGTTGTGACCAATACTTTTCTAAATAATTCATGCACACACATGTATATCAAGAGTAAACTTAATCCAGTCAACTGCCCCTCGACAAGACATTTGGGACTTAATATTTTTATGAATGTAAAGCCAAAAATGTCACCTAGCTGTTTCCTCTTGCCTAGTTCCTATTGAATACATTCTTCTTTTAGAAGGAGAAACAAAAGGTTGTATCTTTAGAGAAACAAGTGGAATTTTAATATGGCCCATTCTTTCTGTCACCTAGCCATAGTTTATTTCATAAAAGCCCCAAAGCAAATGAGGAAGTCATAAAGGTTTTATACTTAAGGCTCTTAAGAAAGCCTACTTTTAAATGTGACTTATTTGGCCTGTGTGACTGAATTGTTTGGTTTGTATTTTTTTTTTTTTTTTTTTTAATGCTACACCGCCTGTCAGCCAGAGGGAGGCGCCAGAGTCCAAAATAAAAAAAGTGTAATTCATTGCTATTATAAATATTGCGGTACTTCTACGATAGGTTGGAGGTATGAGGGGAAAACGATATTTCAATAGCATTGTAAACTTTTTTCATTACTTTTATAGGTTTTATATACAGTACGTTATGTAATCTGTAGATTCAAAGTCGCCCTATCGTATATAAAACTGCTCTGGGCTAAAGATATGTTTGTATCGTATTGGCTTGATTCTTGCTTTTTTCTCTTTAAATAGAACTAGAAGATAATTTTTTGTGTTTTGAGAGCAAAAAACATTTGAAAGTTGGATTCCTCAGCTTTATATTTGTAATTGCAGCCTGGACTCCACAAGAGGGCGCCATCGCTTCTATGGTTTCACGACACGCTCCTCTGTTCACCAGTCTGAGTGTGTGGAGCGTGTATCCTGCAGCAGCGCAGGGCTCTCGCTTGTTGATGCACATAAGTAGTGGGATCACACTTGACCCTGAGTGTAATGACTTGTAAGTGTGGCTGCCGGTTCAGAGAGGCACGGGGGCTAAAGTAGACCTAATTGGGCAATCTGTGTGAGGGTCTGCGTGCAGCCCTGGCGCCATTGGATGTTATGATCTGCACTGGATCCACTGTGTGCTTAGTTAATGGTGCCTGACCTGGGACCAGCAGCGTTGCCTCAAACCTCACCAGTTTTTTGCCTATCCCAGAGATATTATTTGGCTTTAGGCAAGTCTGGAGAAGTCGGTACCTGTTGCTTTGCCCTATTCTGCAATTATTTAATACAGGCTAATCCAATTCATAGGTTAATTTAAGTATAGCCTAAAAGTTAAAGCAAGAGACATCTCATGAACAATATTGAGGGAATAATAATTAAACAGACAAACAGGTGACGAATATCTGTAGATGTTTATTCAAGCAGTGCACATACTTTAATTTGGTCAGAATACAATTTTTGTCACTCATATTTGCAGAAGGAAGAGTAAGTCTATTTCATAATTGTTTCTTTGGTTGTACTGTAATTCCACATTTCTTATTCATTTTTATGTATATTTTACTCCACATGAAAGTAACTATTTGGTTCTGGACATGTGTGTGCGCCTGTAGAGTGAGTATTGCTGTGCTCCCCTTTACCGTTCTCGGGGCCTCTGCAAACAGTTTCCATTTTATCTGGAAGACCAATACATATACATTAATTGAAATGTTAAAATTTAATATTTAGTAAAAACTAGTATTTATAAATACTTAAATAGCTTGACATGTCAAGAAAGTCCTCAATGACAGAAAGCAGCATCTACTTTTCTTTCATTCTAATAATGCCAAAGTATTATTCCATGGACGGACAGGGAAAGTTGACAAGGTGGAAAAAAAACAGTGTCAGAAATATGAAATGTTGATTCACAAAGCCTACAATTTGTGGGATTTGAACATAGAGCAAACAAGAGTTTTTGTAGGGAATAAAGCATGTGAGCCATATCCATACCTCGCCACAGCTTTGAACACTGCTGGGGATGACCATTGCTCCACTGAGAATGCTGTGTTGCTATATTAAATCCATTCTACCAGCCTCAACTATTCAACAATTGCCTGGTGGGGCTTTCATTATGGCCACTGTGGCTTTAGGGCTTTTTCGATGCAGAAACGTTAAGCCCTCCTGTTAGAGAGGACGAGCTGCTGTTTATGCCAGGGCCTTTCTGGAACTAAACATAGTCAATGTCATTATGGATCACACTCAATCTATCTGTTCTCTCACTCGGATCAACAGAACAAAAGCAACAAAGATGTTAAATATAAATGTAAAATGACAGATTTAATTACGGTTAAATAATTTTACTCCTATTGTTTGAGTTCATTAAAATTATCAGAGTTCTGATAAGTTAAATAAACTCATGACCAAAAAAAAAACACATTTGCTAAAGGAAAAGGTCAAGACAGTAGTTATGTGATTTTAGACAACACTGCTTTGGGGTAGATTGACAGAAGCAATGCTGCCAATCTGAGCAAGCAATCCTTTCTCAGAAGACTGATAATCTATTTGATTTTTGTGACGTTACCAATACAGAATGTTGATCCCATGTTTGCTTTCGTATATATTTGTTGATTTTATGTTTCTTTGTATCTCAAAAAATAATATAATAATAATTAATTAATAATAATAATAATTTTTAATTTTCATCACTGCAGTATTGTCACTCATCAGCAGCTACAGTACATGTATTTCCCATGTATTGAGTGGTTGTTTGTAAAAGGTGGCCTTCTGCAGTCTCACATCCTCGGCAACAGAAGAAGGGTGTAGTGGAGACAGCAGAGGCCAAAGGCAGGACAAACAGGCCACAGACCACCTATCTGGATGAAAGCCACACGTCTATGGACAGCATTCCTCACATAAGCAGCTAAAGCCAGCAGCCTAGACTTTACATTGCAAGGTTGCATGTTACAGCAGCCGTATGTAAACTTACACACAACCTTATAATTCAGGACATAAGGGAGTGAGCTAAACTTTTGCACAGTCCAATTTTGAACCTAATCCCCATAAAATCTGGAAGAAAAGGGGTTTTTTTTTTCAAAAGTTAGACATAATTCTCAGAGCCTTTTACTCAAATATATAGAAACTACAAATACATAAAAATACATTTTAACTGATAGAAGAAAAAGGGCATTATTATTTACCCCTTGGGTTTAATGTTATACAAATTGAAAATTTAATTTTCACTGAAAACTGGCAGTATGGTCTCAAAACTTGAATGTTCCATCTTGCTCTTTTGTTTTCTCTTCTTTGCATTATCTATTCCTTACATCCACGGGTCCCTCTCAGTGCACGCCACCGTTGAACAACTTGAATTCACAGCAGTTGAGTCCACAGTATTGAAATAGGTCTCAGGTATTAGATAAATAGTGTCTATGAATATGTGTCAGTGTGTGAGAGAAGGTCAAGGAAATATGAGAGGACAGTGAAAGCAGCCTTTGTGTCCATCGGAGCGCCCCCTGGTGGACTCAGGTATGCGTGGCTGTGGTGGCAGATCAGAGTTAATCACAGTGTGGTGCCTGTCAGAGGCACTTAGAGTGATGCTGGGCAGAGGAACATGGCCGCGCCACATACCCGGCCTCCTGTCTCTGAGAGCGGACCAGGCACCCACAGAGAGGATGGAGACATGGATGAAGATATACGATCAAATATTTGTGACAGCCTACATGGGACACTGCACGACATTTCAAAAGCAATACACTGATTAATTACCTGCTTATTTGGGTACTGTGAAATAAAATGTAAGTTCAAGTCAATGAGTTGTTATTTCTTGTTTCTTATGCCTGTCAGACAAAGCCTGTGCCTGAACCACTACACTTTGTCGCTATGGTAATTATTGGTTCTGTCCTCACCAGCCGTGGCTCAACGCTCTCCTCAAGTAATTAAAAATGGCAGAAACTATTGGTTGTAATCTGGCATCCTGTAGCTTTATTGATTTATTTTCCATATGTTGCTTTTAGTTTAAATGTATGAAATATGGTCTTTGAGTTACTTTGACCATTTTCTTTATAGTCAGTTCTGACAATATCAAGTATGATGTTTACTTATTTTCGAACACAGATCTCACAAGTGTAAATACCCAGTTGGCTTTAAGTATGAAAAACTAAAGCTTTTCATGCTGCATGCAGGCCCTATATGATAAACATTTCTGTAATTACAAACAGGAAGAATCCTTCATATCCGATGAAAAAGAGAGCCCCAACACTGTTCCCAATCATTGCCATCAGATGTAATCTTACTCTAAACAAAGTAAGGCCTTATCTGATCTCCGCTTGTAAACCACTGCATTAGAACCATCCCGGGAACCGACCAATCACTGCATTGCCCCATCCTCAGCTCAATTTTATTTCTTCTGTGCCAGACAATGAGTGGTTGGACAAACTCTGTCTGTCTGCCATCTCAAAGTCCAGCTCGTCCCTATTGACTAGATTAGATAACCTGGTTTTAAAGGCGGGAACAGTGTTAGCCGAGTGCCTCCTCTCAGGCCTAATAAGTCTGATCTAATGGCTGATAGGAGGCTGAGTGTTGACATTGGTGACCTACACAGTGTCATGGCAATGGCCAAACAATACAGCAACACAAAACCGTAATTACTGGATGAATATCAGTGTCATTGCTCTAAAACGACTGCAATAAATATTTTACAAGGGAAAAATTACGACCATTATCGTCTGTGTTGCTTAAGATTGGATGAGTTAATGGGCCCAGATGGGTGGAGGTGATTTCTTCATCTTGGTCATTAATAAAAGAGGTAAAGATAATGCTTTATTTACAAAACAGTAAATAAATGGCATTGATGGTTAACTTTTCCAACAAGATGGCTGCAGAGATGGCACAAGACAGAATTGACATCTTGCTAATTTTGACTTGTTCGGGTTGAATTACACGTGTAAATAACAGTTTTACACTGATGAAAATGTACAGCAATTGGAGCAGCATGATTTGCACACAAAATTAGTTTAAACTAGCAAAGAGTCTCAGATGTGCGAGAATGCAAAGGTTCCCTCGTCCTTGTGTATTGATCTGCACCATGACACAGTCCTAATGTTTAATGTATTTAAGCCAATATACAGCAATAAATACACAGCATGCATTTCTGAGCAAATATTTGATTCCTGAGGGTACTGGAAATCATGCAGCCAGTTAATGTACATTATCAGTTAGGGATATTGTAATTGAATTTGACTTGTTGAATGTGAGACTTAATTTAAAGCTTGTTTCTTTCCAGCGTTAAGGAGGGGGCATTTCTATGGCGCTCTGTTTTAAACATCACTTCCTGTTCTCAATCCCTGCGTCTGCCTATCCGTCAGTTCATAAGCATGCGTTTGTATGTGTGTGGGTGCTGCTGGAGTCTAGTTGCACCTACGGCAGTCTCCCATGGGTGGAGCCGGCACAGGCCTTCTGCAGACAGACACAGCTCCCCCCTCACTCTGCAGGCCAACATGACCTTGTCCTGGATAAGACCCCAGTCTGAGATAAAACAGGTTCACTTTTGGTTAAAGAAAAGTGTCCCTCACTTATGTCCTGTGGATGGCCTCTTGCTTCTGTCACACTCAACTAGTCAAGAGTCACACATTTAATCTGACAAATAGATATTTTGTAGTTAGGACCCATATCATATAAATGTATTAATTATATGTTCTGCTGGAATCACTCATGTACTGTATGTGTATGTATCAGTCACATTCTTTTCTCCTTTTGTCCCCCAAAAGCTTGAACCCTCACCCACACTGTACTTATGGTTCTCTGAGATGAGTTTGTAAGTACTACAACACACTGCTGCTGACAGGGGGTTCAAAGCAGTTCACGGAGGATGGGGCAAATGTAGAGAAGTAATTTATTTCATTAGATATATACAAAAACTAGACTATTATTTTCGATTAGCCATAAAAAGTATTGTTTTACTTCTTTGTGTCTGAATCTTTGTGTGCACGAGCTCTCTCTGGGGGTCCCCACGAGAAATTCCCATTTTATTTTGAATAATATTTGACTTTCTTTTGAGAATTAACCAATTCCTTATTGGTTTACAATAACGTATTTGTTTGATAAGTGCTTGTTGTGTAGACAACCATTGAAGCCCACTTTGCCCACATAGACAATAGAACATTAAGGCACCTCGGCCCTTTGTGTAACTTTTGTAAAGCTGCCTGCTGAGAGTTCAATCCCACGTTTTAGGTTAATCAGCGGCACATGGAGTTTTTGGCACTGTCTGCTCTGACTCACCCCATCTGTGCTCTCCTCATCCATTGTCGTAATATTTCTTCTACACGTGTGTTACTGTTATCCACCAAATAAAATACTATTTCACAACTAAATATATAAAGCTTACTTACTTACTTATAAAGCTTACTTACTTACTTACAACACTTAATTGAAAATAGATTGTTTACACAATTATGAAGCAATGTCGACTTGACAAAATGACTTGGAAAGGTTATGTGCGAAACACAAATGTGTGATGTGGGCTCCATCAGGCCACTTCCCAGCGATGACTGGTGTGACACAGAACTGTACCAATCCCAGTTACCTCCTCATGCACCACAACAATCTGCTCTGATTAACTCTACTCCACTTAAAGCCTGATTTATAAGAGGAAAACATGGCTTTGATTATAACTACCACATGAGTATCTCTTTGCTCTTCAACCTGCCACTAATATGATATATATATGATCTATACTGGGTGAGATCATCACAAGTCTGCAGTGAGAACTTCCCAATTTTACCGGAACTTAATCACAACAATGTTCAAAAGCAAGATGAAAGACACGATTCATTTGAGTATTGAATGTATTTCACGTTTAGTCAATGAACTTAAATCTGGGGTGCCTGACTTTCAAAACACGAAAAAATGAACAATATCCAAATCCATTTAACTAGTTTCTCACTCTCATTACTGTTAGATTCTATCACATGCATTTGTTTCTGGCCAATGTCACAACTTTAAAATCATCTTTTTCAGACATAAAAGTGACAAAGAGAGGACCACCCTCTATCTGCCAATCAGCTGTAAGACCAAAGCATCAAATAGGGACACATAGGGCTCATTCCTACAATGATGCAAAAGTTGACATTCTAAAGAGATGAAGACAGCACACGTGGTCATATTTGTTCACAACTTTTACATTCGTCTTTCCAGTTGGGACAAAAAGTGTGTTATCTGTGAAGAAAAAAAAGTCAGGTATATTAAATATAACAGGAATCACACTGGGTTCACACTTGTCTTCTCAGCATGGGAGGTACATAAGGAGTGCAGACAGGAGGTTGTAAAGCTTCCCTCCTTCCTTAAGTGGGATATAACATTTCAACACACAGCCCATGTTGATATATATTGCCCATGTGGAAGTGACCCTGAGGACACCCCCTGCCCTCTCCTGCCCCACGGTTGGTCTGCGGCAGGGGAAGTGTGCGAGGCTGAAGCGTGTGTGCTATGTTAACCCACACAAGGGCAGCATAGCAATAACAAACAGGCGATCAGAGCAGCATGGTGACCTCTGCTCTGCGCGCCTGCCTGATCAGTATCGCCATGACTCGGAGTGACGGGCGACATGTGTGTCCCTGTGTTTTTAATCATTCACTTCTTTAAAGCAAATCAAAGAGAGACGCAAGTTTCCTCATGCCGCTGTGACAGTAAATGATTGACAGTCACTTTGAGTCCTTTAAGTCCCGCCCTCATGATGCTCTTATGGGATAGATGAGAACTGTGCCATGTCTGGACTTTTTCTTTTGTCTTGTCTCTCTCTCTTTTTTTGAGCCCACATTGGAATGGGAGCAACTGATGAAGAAGCATTGAGTGTTGTATGTGGTAGGTAAAAAGATTATATATATATTTGAACTTCCCAATGTATTGATATACGTATTATTACTATGTTGATTGAGTCAAAACGCCCCATATTACCCTTAGTGGTATGTGGCTTATAATATTGTACAATGTATGCATTTATTTTGACAAGAAGGCACCTATGTTTGTGTTACATGATCCAACACTGCATGCTTTCCCATAGACTAAATGCTACTTTTAATCAATATTTCAATCATGCTAAATCTCAAGCAGATTTTCATAATGTATTTCACCGGAGTTTCCTTTCACTTACACACCTCTGTTGTCCATTAATACCACGCATATCAGTTTCCCTTACCTCCACATGATGGGACTTTTCCTCAAGGTTCTTCTATGGCTGCCTATTCATTCCGACAGGTTGACACCGAGAGTGGGCTATAGTGTGTATTTGAAACGACTTTGTAGATTATGACCTCACACCCATTCTACTCAACTGCCTCTCAAGACTGATTGTTTAGAATACGGTATTATAATCTATGGAAAGTATTCATATTTTGATTTGAATTGATAACACTAAGGCATTTGTTCCACTTTAAAATGGCAATATTAGAGAGCTATTAGCCAGAGTGAGTTGGCATTGCAAGCCTTGTGATAGCACATATTGCAAACTCGTTACACACTTGCGCTGTTTAGTTGCTCATGGGCGCCATTCAAATCCCCTTCATAATATTTTTCAAATGAGAATTACATTTCATTTCTTTCCCCCCTCAGATGTGTTTATGTTATCATTTGTAAATCTTACTCAAAGTGCAGCGGGAGACACAAGAGAGCGCTCTCATACACAGTTTAAAGGCTGTATTTACAGATAATTCTAACTGTCAAATACTTGTGCCCGATGACATAGTGCAGAGAGAAGCCCTCCCTGGTGCGTTCAGGCAGCAGGGTTTCATTTCAGGTAAGAACTTATTGCACAGAGAGTGAGAGAAAGGAGGGAGCAAGTACAGTGTGTGAGGACCATGCGAAAACAACCATGCAAAAGTGGAAGTGATCTGATAATGGCGCTTTTCAAACTGAGGTGCACGTACCGCTGAATACTGTGTTGCAGCAGAAACAAAATGAAAGAGAATAGAAAGAAAACTATTCAATATTTACTGGATTCCAAGAGCTGACACAATAATTGTTTTCTTTAGTTTACTTGACTTACTTCCTCACACTATAGGGGCAAAGCAACATTATTACGTAAGTTTTAGATTGAAGTAAAGGCTTATTCTATTCCCACAACTACATATTTTATTTTACACAAAACTTTCAATGCAAGTTACTTCACACATTTCATACAAATTCCATCACATAGGCTACATAAGCCCAGGTCAAACACACACAAGTTTATATTTCTTATGCTGTTGTATTATTTTTGTTTATTGCTATATTGTTTAATGTCCCATTAGTTTCACAGTGACATGTAAGGGTGGTTTGTGTTGTTTCACGCAAAGAAATCAGTGAAATTGGGAAATATTTTGACTATATTTATTCTGGTCAAAGCAAACTCTTATCAAGTATATTTCAACTTTCTTTATATAATTATCTAGTTTAAAGTTCTGATTAAAACCCTATTGAGCACCGTATATGAAACAGCTGGCCATGCTTTTTTATTCATATTTTATAATAATTAGTTTCAATCAAGTAATGGCGAATTCACGTAAAGATGCTTCACAGGGATTGGAATTATAACTCACATCATGGTCCCATGCAAAATATCTGTGCACCACTTTTAGAATAAATGTTTGGTAATTCATCTGAAATTCTCTCCAGTAAAAATGTGTGAAGAAGCACTAAAGGACCCACGAGTCGTGACCTGCGCATGGAAGCAATTTAGAGAAATGCGTTTGAGAGCGCGCTAAAAAGACAAATTAATCCTGAACGGAAACGAGATACATCCTTTAAAACAAGCCATTTGCGCACTTCTGACTCTGGCGCTAAAGCTGCGGAGCCACCGCAGCATTAGCGGCACTTTTGAAAGCAGAGCAGAAGGACAGTCCTGGGACAGACCTATACATGTGTGTCCAATAGGTCCGAGACTCAATCAGGAAAACCACAAACAAAACCTGCACAAGGTGGACTGTATTTATAGAGGGAGGTTTGTTTAATGGAGTGTTATAGTCTCCTGCGTCTGTTGTTCGTTATGCATTCGTTACTTTCACTTCTAATTAAACATGATTTTACGCATGCAACGCAACTTTAGAACCACGCACTAGTCCGTGGTCTAATAATGAGCACAATGCGTGGTATTCTTTAGTATCATATGTCCTTGTTCCACGTTGTAAAACATAGGCCTATAACCAAAACATTGTGATAGAGGCCTATATCTCGAGAAAGTGGATGCACTCCTAATACGTATATTACACTCCAGAATGTTGCAACCATTATTCTTAAAATAAATAATTGTTAATATTATAATAAATAAAACAAACTGTACAGGACCATCATGAAACTGAAACGAGCAAAGCAGAAACATACAAACAAACAAATGCACGCTTTATATTGTAGTGAACTCGAGAGTCTCAGTTCAGACCAATCAAATAGATTAGGAGGACTTGTTTTTCCTTCTTTTTTATATGAAAAAAGCTTTTCTGTTTATCGCTAAATTTCTGAAAAGGCCATGACTGTGCTGTTTGTACTCATGCACTCTGCATCAGTTAAAATATGTTGTTATGTTTATGAGGTCTAGTTTGTCTGGGCTTCATTCTGTCTCATGTAATTGTCATGAAGCTTTGCAAATAAAAAGTACAACCTGTTTTTTTTTTAATTTTATTTACATGATGTGGTACCGGGAAGAGGAAATGTCACGGGTAAAGGGACTCTGGTGATACCTGTGTCCATGCTGCGCTCACACTGCAGCTTTCTGCTCCGCGGTTGTTCCATCACAGATTTGATCTTTCACAGAAATAAGAAAAATATAGTCGAGGTCGGGAGCAGCAGAAAGAAGGTTTAAGTGATGCCCCATCGCGCTTCAATTATTAAGGCTGCCGCTCTGTGCGCTTTTCTCTTAGCGTAAGGAGGTGACGCGCAGGGATATTGCCCCTTTATTGCAGTTTGGCAGAAACAAGAATTTGGGGAATAAAAAAAAAAATGTTTTAAAACCATTTTAGTTTTCCCCAAAACAAAGCGTCTGTCACTGTTGTTGACACAATGTTTTATGCAGTGAATAAAGCAAAACAACTCACAAAAACGTGTTATTTGTAATTATTGATGGCAGAAAAGGCTTCATTATTCGTGGTTAATTTAGATACTTTATTTTTGATCAGTTTCATGCAGTCTGTTTCTGCCGCCAGAGTAAACAGCAGGCCCAGTGCGTCCCGCTGCGACGCTCAAGGATGTCCCGGTGACACAGACAACAGTCCAAACGCTGCAGATGTTGACTTCATGTTGAAACTGCTTCGGTTGAGCTGCTCAGTAACAACAGCGCGGTCTCAGAGCGTACTTTCGAACACATCAGTAACCTTTTATTTAGGCCTATTACTGTAATTGGCCTTTTCTGAAAAGGATAATAAGGGCACGTTGGCCAAACTATAATATTCACCAAAAATATAATCCCGACATCCACCTCCTTTTCAAGCTACACTTAAATAGCAAAATGGGCTAAATTAAATCGTTGGGGAAATATTATTATATTATACAAATCACAAAATAATGTACACATTTAATAAAAATAATAATAATATTAACAATCATAATAATAATAATAATAATAATAGTGTCATAACATTATTTATAAGAAAACATAAGAATACTCGGCCTATATCAAATACATGAATTCATCTGTAATACCATCCTTTATCAGCGCCACATCTGTCTGTCCGTCATCACCACAAGGCATGTATTATTAGTATTAGGCTATTCATTAACGCACATCAGGGCATGGACTTCAGCTCAATACATTTTATCTATATGCAGCGATGATACTAAGTGTGACACTATTAGAATGAGATAATGGAGTGATAAGTGAGGCCAGCGCATGCTAGAAAGTTTCTCATGCAAAGTTACAAGAGAGTGACTTCTTTATAAATGTCAAGGTCTCCACGATAGTTACTTGTTATAATGAGCAGCGACAGAGAAGCGCAGACCACATCCTACTGTGACAGTTGTGGTAGCCAAAAGAAACAAGAAAATTCACAAATATTGTTTATAGATTTGTTGGAGATGTTTGTTGAGCGCACAATGTTGTTCCTTCTTTCAGATCTTCCTAAAAATCTGAACGTATCCTTCCACTATCAGCTTGTGCGCAAGATCCTGCCCACTAAATGTGTCATATTAGTTTCCCAACGCCCCCTTCCTCCCTCCTTCTCTTCCTTCCTCCAGTCTTTGTCTCTCCTCCCTCTATCAGTCAGCCAGTGAGCCCGTTGGCACAGGCGAGATTGAAAGTGACACGCTCTGATTACAACCGGATCATTTAGCACCGGCACAATTCTCTTTAACGCTACAACACAGTGTCCGCTCCTCAGTCTCAGTTTGGTTTTACGCACCGGGTTTCCCTCACTTTTGCTCGGGTTAGGTTAGAACTCGCTACTGTTTTCGGTCTTTACAGAACAGCTTTGCTTCCACAGACGATGACACCTTAGACGTGACGCGGAAGAAGACTCGATGAAAAGAAGAAAAAGTTGCGCGTAAAAGTTATTCGTTTTGCGCAGCAGGGCACACCGGGGCAGTTTGCTCTCTCCCAGCGGTGCATCCCCTTCACCTGGCGGCTGTCTGCGCTCTGCAATATACGCGCGCTCCAACAACAGGCTCCCGGACAATCCTGACTGAAAGTCCGGGTCCCAAGAATCGTCCAGCCCTGGATTCACTACTGTTGATCAATGGACAGAGCCTCTTCAGCGGTCAGAGACACACACACGCCGTAAACAGTGAGTGCACACTTTCACACCCACGCACACGCACTCGCTGCCTCACACACACTGACACGGCTGCACAAAGTTACAAGTAACCAAACTCAGCGAGTTTAAAAAGAAGGCAAAGGGTGGGTAAAGTTAAATTATTATTTTGTATTTTTTATCATTAAGGCTGTGGTTGATTTCAAAAGTTTATCAGGCTAATTATTATTATTACAATTATTATTGTTATTACTATTATTATCATCAGTATTATTATTATTCAGCCATTACTATTATTAGAGTATTACTATAATTATTAGCCTATTAAAGTGGTTATTGTCAGAAATGAAAAAAACATAATCAGCTTTGTTTGGGTTGTGATCGCCCTTCTACCTTCATCTTTTTCTTTTCCCAATAAAAGCACAATACTAAATTGTCTGTTTTGTCTAATATCTGTAACAGACAGTGATATGTATTAGACGTTATATATTATGTACATGTATATGTTTATATATTTTAATGTAAAAGCTGGTTATTGCATTATTTTAGACGTAAACGAAACGAAGACCAATGTGTATTCTAAAAGAACATCCCTCAATGGTCACGTACTTGTGCACGTATGTGTGTGCGTAAAAACACGAAAAAAGAAAAAAAAAAAAGAAGAATCAGAACACACCACAGGTCATTGCGACATTTTTGCCACTTTGTCACTTTTTAACTTCGAAAACAGACCCTTGCTACATATTGACGCACGCGGACGGGACAATGGGCCTACTATAAAGACACTTTAAACTATTGAACGTAGGCGAAGCGATTGGCTTTTTTCCCAGATGGGAAACCAACATTTTGGACAGGAGGCCTTACAAAAGATGAGGAGAAGGATATTGACCTGGTTGAAAGCGGCCGGAGGAATGGACACCTGCACACTTGAAACTAACATAACAATTAAACATGTTATAGAGACCCAAATATATTATTCCAGAAACAAAAACAAAATGTGTGCAAATTAATGATTCTCCATTTCACCTTATAATGTGCACCAAGGAGCCACGACAAACTGATCTCTGGACCTTGCGGCGCATCCTGCAGCAGCAGCAGTGTCCCAGTTTCTCCCTATTTCCCAAAAGAGCAGAACTCACTCCTGTTTACGGCCTCGCTCATAAAAATAAAGCGTCCAGATTATGGGCTTCTTTCCATAAAGAGTAACTTCAAGAGGAGCAGCCCGAGCGCAGCTGAGACCATTGCAGACTTTTCTTTTTTTCCAAACTTTTTTTGTTTTGTTTTTTGAATAAGGCTTACATTAAACTAATCTAACGCAGTGAACGCTCTCTCCCTCTCACTGACCCCCTACTGCACGATTCCTCAGCAAAAACACAATCAGAGGATCGGAAGTTGTAGACGGTTGCAGTTTAACCCCGTAAATGTAAAATACGTTTGCCGCGCGTAATGATCCAACTTCCAGAGCAAAGTTGGATCGTGTCTAATCTTTCTGTTCAACAGTTTTCAATTATTCGTGTCCTTAGCCAGACATCAACTGGACTTTGAAAGATTCCGTATTTTGGCCTATGTCTAGGATTACATCGTGATTTGATGATGTGCCAGTAAAAAAATTATATTTTATTCCAATCATGTAACGTAAACGCTGGCATATAAGTGTCCTCATCAGACCTCCTCATAGGTGCGTCTCCCACCGCTGACGGTTCATGGTAAAACTGGAGAAGCCGGTCCTGTTATTTCAGCATCTCCCTGTTTCCCCGCAGTTATGCTCACTCTGGTGAAGCTGGTGTGAGCTGCGGTGCGCAGGGTTTGGCCAATAGGCTGAAAGTGTATGCGTGCTGTTAACCAGCAGGGACTTTAGAATTCATCTTGACTAAAGCTGCCTCTTAAACTTACACGCTTCAACGTTATTCTCACATATTTCACCTAAAGCACAAACAATAATTCAGGGACAATAATTCTTTATTATTATGAATGATCATTATTCCAATAGTAACCAAGATAATGTAAACAAAAAAATGCGTTCCCCGATTTTAGTGCCTATGTAATTATTTTTTTTGCTATAAGAGCTACACTTATTACAAGTATAAGTCCATGTGTGTCCTTTGTTTGCTGTGGATAGATGTTGCAAGTTTCTGTAAGTTTATAGCTCTATTGGAACGATGAGACATGATTCGTCCTGTATTATCAAATTATAGATGTTTAAGAGACAGCTTTACCTAAGAGAGAGCCATGTCCATCCCACTCCCATCTCAGCTCTCAGATATGATTGACATAAACAGTAGATTCTACATCAAATGACACAGACTTCATGCAATAATTTAATTGACAACACAAAGAGTCCAAACATTCAAAATTCAACACAGATGTCCCTGAAAATAAATCTGAAATGAATACAGTATACTAATTACTATAGTAACTTTTTTGAGAAGTTCAAGGAAAACTCAAAATACGCACCTATCATTATAAGCAAACCGGCTGTGTGAAGATGATTGCTAACTTTAATACATTGCCTTGTATCTTTGAATGAAATAGAATGATACAATGATATATATTGATCATAACAATCACAATATGATTGTTATGATCAACATATATCATTGTATCTTGTATCTAGTCCAACATGATTAGTTGCACCGTCAATCTGAGCCAAGTATTAACCAATAGCTTGATAACAACACCATAAAAGTGAAGGGAAGAGCAGACCGTTTTCCTGTAGGTGAGGCCCCGTTATCAGTGCTAATAACACCTCCAGAGGTTTAGTATATACCAGGGAGATAGGACGATACGTGCTGCTGCTCGTTCATTCACTTCAGTTCATTTTACTTCACTTATTTTATACCATCAGATCGAACGGCTGTTATAGATGAATCATAATTTTATCCCTTACAGAGCAGTAGTTTTCTGGAGACTTTCAATTCAGACATTCAAAGTTGATTTGTTTTTTGCCAAGAGACACAATGAAACAATGGTTAAAGTGTGCTATTTACGATTTGGACATCTGTAATTCTGAATACAACCTCTACAAACATTTACTTTTTGTGTCATTGAGCTTTAAAAATAAACAATGTATGAATCAACATTGAGTCTGTTTTAAGCTTTTCAGTCTGTATTGTTTCCTATACTCACTCAAAATTGTATATCGGACAATTCATGCATAAGTGATCGTCCCCTGCACGTAAAATCTAGTATTTTGCCGATCCCGACATGCTCGCATTAATGAGTCAGTGAAACAGATTTGGAAGATTCCCTCAGCCATTTTGGCACACATCCTCCCTGAACTGATCCAAACCGAGTAAACGGCATACTGTAAAAGCAAAGGAAAAAAATATCAGTTCCCCATTTTTTTTCTTTTTTTTTTATTAAATCACTTTACTTTTGATCTTCATTGCATTTAAAATCTCCAAAATAGAATAACGATTTACGCAGACAAAGTTTTTCACAAATGGATGCAAACGAAAGTGCACAATTCTCAGTGATGTAAAAAGGGGGAATTATGAAGAAATCTCTAAAAGGAGACATGTCATTATTATAGCATATGTCATTGAAAGTAGCAATCATGTCATAGTTTAGACTGGCTCTCAATTACATGTTAGTGCCAACGTCTTTGGAGTTGGACGTGTTGTTTATAGGTGCATTTGTTTGTCCCTTTTCCACTCTTTTATGTAGATGGGTGTGTGCGCCGTTCCCCCCTCGCTGCAATCTTGTCTCTGGTCATCGCGTTGCATTTGTTATGTCTACATCGTGTAATAATGTGGAATTTGATAGTGGCTTTATCGTCCAAACAGCCAAAAAGGACAAAAGGGGAATTGTGTGAAATGTTTTGCGGAGAATCAAAATCAGCTGGAAAATTATTGCATAAGTTCTACATGCTTTTCTCAAATGAATTTACAACCAATATGCACTCTCAGATTTTCAATTTAGCCTTGTAGAAAACTTTAATGACATTTTGTAGATACGATTTTGTAGCAAGTTTTTAGCCTCTTTGTTTTTAGCCTTGAAAACAAACTTTTTTTTTTTTTTTTACCCGACTTGAAGCTAGTGCGTCAAACTAAACTATTGCAAATATAAATCTTGCCCTGACCCTCCTGTCGCTGCCCAGAGGAGCAATAAACTCAGTAACCTTTCCTTATCGTGCACATGTTACATGATGGTTCCGGTCTCCACAATAGAGCACATCTTCATGTACTTTATTAACTGTTCAAACCGGCGCAGAGCTTATCAGACGCTGCTTTAGATGGAGACAGGATAGAGCCGATAACCATCTCAATGTCATTATACTTTGTGGTCATCAACGTTTATGTCTGATAAAGTTATCAATGGAATGGGCTTGCTGTACAGATGACCTGACCTACACCTGCATCACAATTAGATTATCAGATGTTCTATAGGCTTTATGTTCTGACTTGTCTATTTATCTTTGTCATAGTTTGCTGGTTTAGAGCACTGGCCCTTTAAGAAAAGGCGCCTGTTGCTGCCACCTTGTTGCCATGGAAATTTACGCTTGCCATTGCCAGTTGAAAGTGTGCTGGGAAAGACGTGTTTTTTCAGTTGAGTTCTTAAAAGGCATTCCCTGTAAGTATGTATGGGTTAAGTTGATTAAGTTAGGTCAATTAATTAAGATGTGTGTTTTAAAAGTTATAGGAGGCACAAAAATGAACTATTTACAGTTTAATTAGGCCATGTTTGTTTAGTAGCATTTGAGGTAATGTTAGCTACAAAGCGTGCTGCTCTTTATTTTACATTTTGTACTCATGTACATTGTATTTTGTGTTTACAGTTTCACACCTGCCATATAAAGGAAAGGTCAAACCCATCCTGGCGTCAGTGACTTATTGTGTGGAGGTGTTTAACTCCTGGATAGTAGATAAGGGTTCTACGAGGCCAGTACAGTGAAAAGGGATTCCATATTATGAACTCCTGGCTGCTGCATTGTTACACGCTGCATCCAGGCCAGCACAACAGTCGCAGTATCTCCAAGTCAGTGTTGAAGCACATCAAATCAGCGCAACGATGAAGAATGATGAAATGTATGA